CACCGCATTGTCAAATTGAAGTAGCACAATCATTGTCATTGTCACGAACATAAGAGATGATGTAGAATTTCTACACGTAAGATTATCACAGTCTCCATAACAAAATGTTATTCAGGAATTTTTACCCATCTTTGTCACAATGGCTTCTAAGGTATAATTTCCTCAGTCAACTTTTCCCAAAAAACACTTTGTCAATTTTCAAAAAATAAATAGATTTTAATAGATTCCTATATATCAATATGTCACAATAAATAATTTGGCTATATTTACAAAGACCAAACCATTGTGACAAATACTTGAGAAAATGGTTCATATTTCAGAAATTTGGTATTATCAGGTGATAGTGTTTCTTATCAATCAGTATGATTTGGCATAGTATCAGGTGTGTCTGGAGTTCTTGACATCTAAATCATTTACTTCTTCATAAAAGTAGCACGAGCAATTGACATCGCTGAGGACTTTGATGAAGTAGACGTCTTAGAAGACACTGAGGACATCACAGACGATTTAGAACTGTAGCTCTTCTTTGTAGATGATGCAGAGGAAGATGCTGATTCCTCAAATTTAACATGCTTGGAAGACTTTAACTCCTTGGATTTGAAAGAGCTAGTCTTCATCGAAGAATGACTTTCCTCCTTTACAGCAGACTTAACAGACTTGACAGTTTGAATGTTCATTTTCTTCATGGCCTCCTGGTATACTGAAGAGGTGGTAGAAGATTCACTCTTGATGGCAGACATGTATTGTCTGCGAGTCTTGTTAAAGGACTCCTCACTGACCTCTGATTTCTGTGATTTTGACTCAACAGGAGGCTCACTGGATGCTCTAGCATACCTGTAATGCATATCCAGTTCTAGGTCACTAAGTTCCTCCAGACGTCTTTGTGTGGATGTTTTAGTAACAGATTTAGAGTGAGCTGCTTCAGTTTTTCTCGAACTTTCATATTTGGATTTGTGAGAATATTGTTTCTTCTCCAAACCTGCTAGATACCTTTGTTTTACATCAGAAATACTGCTCTTTGAAGCAGCTGAAGTTTGTTTGTATTGTTGTTGAGCCTTCTTACTAAAAGTACGAAGATCTGCCTCAGATGTTTCTGCTTTGGCTTGTGCAAGCCTCAACTGAAGAGCTATGCCTCTGTTACTAGCTCCCCTATAGAGCTCATTTTCATAATTCACATCTTGGAGGTCAGCATCTGCTACAATGTTTCTGTATCTCCTGTAAACTGGCAAGCGACTCCACCACCAGTAAGGAGAGTAGTAGGTAGCCCCTGTTCCTGACTCCAGTAGTGATTGACTGTGTTGTACAGCCAGTCGTGATCTAGCTAGGGTTTCTTCTACAGAGGCTTCATGTCTGGCTTGAATACGAGACAACACATTTTGAGTTGTCTGAGACATTTTTGTCTCACTGGCAATGTGACTGGTCTTTTTCTCATCATAGGTTTTCGACAAAGAATGAAGTTTGCCATGAGTCTGTTGAGCATCAGCTTCAGCGCGGAGAGATTTGACAGTGTGTATTCTCTGGATTGACGAAGTGTCATGTGTTGAAGAATAGTCCTGTCTCTTCAAAACAGACATATACTGTCTTCTATTCTGCTCAAAGGATTCATCATCAAATTCAGATTTGTATACACGAGATGTTTCTACTGGTGGCTCACTAGAAGCACGTGAATATCTCATATGCATTTCTAGATCCATGGCGCGCAATTCCTCAAGTCTCTCCTGGGCAGAAGCCCTAACGGAAGCGAGGGTCTCATAACGGGATTCTGTCTTAGCCTCTTTGCGAGATTCTTCTCGCTTCTGAAGTGATTTTGTGAGTTTCTCCTTTGATTCCTGATAGATCTTTTTATCAAATGACCGATCTTTTGCTGAGGTTTTCTTGGCTCTTTCTGCCATCTCTCGGTCGAAACGACTATACTCAGCCAGTTTACTGTCATCCTGAGTAACAACACTCTTGGTTTGGGTTGAAATATCAGCCTTGGAATCAAGCTCATACTTTAGGCCACTATATCTGACATACCTAGCAAGGTGATCCCAACGGCTATAGGGAGCAGTGTAAGTGGATTGGGTATGACTTTGGTAACTTGTTGTTTTATCTGATGCAGCTTGCTTTCTGGCCTGAAGCCTGGCTCTGAATTCCTTTGCTGCAACAGAAGTCTCTGTTTCTCCAACTCTGTCCAAGACTGCTGTGGAAACACCAGTCTGCTTGGCATCTACTGCTTCTTTGATGGACTTGAGAGTGTGATAAGGTCCTGTCTTTGTGCGAATGTCACTTTCTGTGCTGAAATCTTGTTTGTAGAGTGCAGACAGGTAACTTTTTCTTTGTTGTTCAAATGATTCATCATCAATCTCTGATCGTTGCGCTTTTGATAATGTTGACCTGTAATGTACACTTCCTGCACTCAACCTCCTTGCTGTCTGTTCTTGTTCCTCAACTCGGGCAAGAGCCAAGGCCTTGACAGAGTCCAAAGTGTAAATGTCTTGTCTTCCACTATATCTTGATCTGTAGGCATCCTCCTGTTGCTGAAGGGTGATCAAGTATTTGTCTTTTGATTGCTGAAGTAAACTGTCATCATGAGTTCTAGCTGAGGTACGTTTTGATCTTTCTTGAATTTCCTGATCAAATTTGCTGTAATCTGGTACGTCTCTCGGCTCACTAGATCCTCTATAAGATCTATAATCAGAGTCATAATCCTCTAGCTGGTCCTTCAGACCACTGTATCTAGTGTAGGCGGCAAGATGGTTCCATCTCTCATAATTAGAATCATAGGTTGATCTAGGTACTGTGTAATACAGGCTGTGTTGTGTAGCTGCATCAGTAGCAGATTGCCTTGCCCGAAGTCTGGCTCTGAACTCTTTTGCTGCAAGAGTTGTTTCTGTTTCACCAGTGACTTCAGATCCAGTAGCAATTCCATATTTCTGTTTGGCATCCACCTCGGCTTTTACTGACTGCAAAGTGTACCAGTTAGCTCTTCGCTGACTGGCGACTGTCTCTGTATCTGTTGTATAGTCAGTTCTATACAATGCAGACATGTAGTTGGCTCTTGATTGTTCAAAAGATTGATCATCTATGTCCAGTTTGTAGCTTCTCCGAGGTCGTACCTCAGCTCTTGGTTCACTTAAAGCACGTGTTGCTCGCAGTTCTCTCATTCTTTCCTCCTCAAGCTTCTCAAGAGCTGCTGCTCTCACGGCTTCTACTGTCTTGATATCCTTCGTTCTTCTGCTAATGTCATACCTAGATTTATATATGTCCTCCTGCTGTTTTAAAGTTTGGAGATATTGCGATGTTGATTTCTGTAAAGACACATCCTCTTGAGCTTTGGCTGATGTGCGCTTGCCTCTTTCCTCCATCTCTCTGTCAAATTTGCTATAATCAGGAATTTCCCTTGTCTCACTAAGTGATCTTATAGATCTAACATCATAGACATCACCTGTGTCACTCAGCTGATCTTTGAGGCCACTGAATTTTGTGTATGCAGCCAGATGATTCCATCTACTGTAGTCGGAATCATAAGCTGTTTTTGGTGCAGAAAAAGTCGTGGGAGTTGTAACAACTGAAGCATCCAATGCAGCCTGCCTTGCACGCAGTCTGGCACGGAAATCTTTTGCAGCAAGCGTTGTTTCTGTTTCACCAATAACGTACGGTTCTGTTGCTAATTTGGCATCTCGCTGTTTGGTGTCCAACTCTGCCTTTACAGACTTCAGTGTATACCAATTGGCTTTTCTCTGACTGGCGACTGTCTCTGTATCTGTTGTATAGTCAGTTCTATACAATGCAGACATGTAGTTGGCTCTTGATTGTTCAAAAGATTGATCATCTATGTCCAGTTTGTAGCTTCTCCGAGGTCGTACCTCAGCTCTTGGTTCACTTAAAGCACGTGTTGCTCGGAGTTCTCTCATTCTTTCCTCCTCAAGTTTCTCAAGAGCTGCTGCTCTCACGGCTTCTACTGTCTTGATATCCTTCGTTCTTCTGCTAATGTCATACCTAGATTTATATATGTCTTCCTGCTGTTTTAAAGTTTGGAGATATTGCGATGTTGATTTCTGTAAAGACACATCCTCTTGAGCTTTGGCTGATGTGCGCTTGCCTCTTTCCTCCATCTCTCTGTCAAATTTGCTATAATCAGGAATTTCCCTTGTCTCACTAAGTGATCTTATAGATCTAACATCATAGACATCACCTGTGTCACTCAGCTGATCTTTGAGGCCGCTGAATTTTGTGTATGCAGCCAGATGATTCCATCTACTGTAGTCGGAATCATAAGCAGTTTTTGGTGCAGAAAAAGTCGTGGGAGTTGTAACAACTGAAGCATCCAATGCAGCCTGCCTTGCACGCAGTCTGGCACGGAAATCTTTTGCAGCAAGCGTTGTTTCTGTTTCACCAATCACGTACGGTTCTGTTGCCAATTTAGCATCTCGCTGTTTGGTGTCCAACTCTGCTTTTCACGTACGGTTCTGTTGCCAATTTAGCATCTCGCTGTTTGGTGTCCAACTCTGCTTTTACAGACTTTAGTGTATACCAATTGGCTTTTCTCTGACTGGCGACTGTCTCTGTATCTGTTGTATAGTCAGTTCTATACAATGCAGACATGTAGTTGGCTCTTGATTGTTCAAAAGATTGATCATCTATGTCCAGTTTGTAGCTTCTCCGAGGTCGTACCTCAGCTCTTGGTTCACTTAAAGCACGTGTTGCTCGGAGTTCTCTCATTCTTTCCTCCTCAAGTTTCTCAAGAGCTGCTGCTCTCACGGCTTCTACTGTCTTGATATCCTTCGTTCTTCTGCTAATGTCATACCTAGATTTATATATGTCTTCCTGCTGTTTTAAAGTTTGGAGATATTGGTTTGTTGTTTTCTGTAAAGACATATCCTCTTGAGCTTTGGCTGATGTGCGCTTGCCTCTTTCCTCCATCTCTCTGTCAAATTTGCTATAATCAGGAATTTCCCTTGTTTCACTAAGTGATCTTAAAGATCTAACATCATAGACATCACCTGTGTCACTCAGTTTGTTGTTTTCTGTAAAGACATATCCTCTTGAGCTTTGGCTGATGTGCGCTTGCCTCTTTCCTCCATCTCTCTGTCAAATTTGCTATAATCAGGAATTTCCCTTGTTTCACTAAGTGATCTTAAAGATCTAACATCATAGACATCACCTGTGTCACTCAGCATGATCTTTGAGGCCACTGAATTTTGTGTATGCAGCCAGATGATCCCATCTACTGTAGTCGGAATCATAAGCAGTTTTTGGTGCAGAAAAAGTCGTGGGAGTTGTAACAACTGAAGCATCCAATGCAGCCTGCCTTGCACGCAGTCTGGCACGGAAATCTTTTGCAGCAAGCGTTGTTTCTGTTTCACCAATAACGTACGGTTCTGTTGCTAATTTGGCATCTCGCTGTTTGGTGTCCAACTCTGCTTTTACAGACTTTAGTGTATACCAATTGGCTTTTCTCTGACTGGCGACTGTCTCTGTATCTGTTGTATAGTCAGTTCTATACAATGCAGACATGTAGTTGGCTCTTGATTGTTCAAAAGATTGATCATCTATGTCCAGTTTGTAGCTTCTCCGAGGTCGTACCTCAGCTCTTGGTTCACTTAAAGCACGTGTTGCTCGGAGTTCTCTCATTCTTTCCTCCTCAAGTTTCTCAAGAGCTGCTGCTCTCACGGCTTCTACTGTCTTGATATCCTTCGTTCTTCTGCTAATGTCATACCTAGATTTATATATGTCTTCCTGCTGTTTTAAAGTTTGGAGATATTGGTTTGTTGTTTTCTGTAAAGACATATCCTCTTGAGCTTTGGCTGATGTGCGCTTGCCTCTTTCCTCCATCTCTCTGTCAAATTTGCTATAATCAGGAATTTCCCTTGTTTCACTAAGTGATCTTAAAGATCTAACATCATAGACATCACCTGTGTCACTCAGCTGATCTTTGAGGCCACTGAATTTTGTGTATGCAGCCAGATGATCCCATCTACTGTAGTCGGAATCATAAGCAGTTTTTGGTGCAGAAAAAGTCGTGGGAGTTGTAACAACTGAAGCATCCAATGCAGCCTGCCTTGCACGCAGTCTGGCACGGAAATCTTTTGCAGCAAGCGTTGTTTCTGTTTCACCAATAATGTACGGTTCTGTTGCTAATTTGGCATCTCGCTGTTTGGTGTCCAACTCTGCTTTTACAGACTTCAGTGTATACCAATTGGCTTTTCTCTGACTGGCGACTGTCTCTGTATCTGTTGTATAGTCAGTTCTATACAATGCAGACATGTAGTTGGCTCTTGATTGTTCAAAAGATTGATCATCTATGTCCAGTTTGTAGCTTCTCCGAGGTCGTACCTCAGCTCTTGGTTCACTTAAAGCACGCGATGCTCGCAATTCTCTCACCCTCTCTTCCTCAAGTTTCTCAAGAGCTGCTGCTTTCACAGCTTCCACTGTTTTTATATCTTTCCTAAGATCATACCTTGACTTATGTAGATCTTCCTGCTGTTGTAAAGTAAGGAGATATCTATTCCTGGATTCCTGTAAGGAGACACCTTCTTGAGCCTTAGCAGAAGTGCGTTTGGATCTCTCAGAAATCTCCTGATCAAATTTGCTAAAATCAGGAATGTCTTTGGGTTCACTCGATGCCCTGAATGATCTTATATCCAAATTGTCACTGGTTTCAGTCAGCTGGTCTTTAAGACCACTGTATTTGGTGTAAGCAGCGAGATGATTCCATCTGCTATAATGGGAGTCAAAAGTAGGGCGTGGTTCCTCTACAGTTATACGAGTAGTAGCAACGTCTGTTGCAGTCTGTCTGGCTCGGAGTCTCGCTCTGAAGTCCTTAGCAGCACGTGTGGTTTCAGTTTCAGTAATAGCGTACTGCGCAGAGGGAATCTGCTTGCTTCTCTCCTTAGTATTCAGAGCTGCTTGTACTGACTTGAGCGTGTACCAGTTATCTCTTTGTAGACTTGCATTTGTTTCAGTCTCGGTTGAATAACACGTTCTATCTAAGACAGACATATAGTTTGCTCTGGAAGATTCAAATTCCTCGTCATTAATCTCCAAATAGGATTTACGCCCACTTGTTTTTTCTGTACGAGGCTCACTTTTTGCTCTTCGCTGATGAGTTTCCAGTGATTTACGTGCCTCTAAACGTTCCTGAGCAGAAGCACGGACACTTGCCACTGTATTGATAACATCTTTCTTTTTGCCTAATAAATATGCATCATGTTCTCGTTGATAAGCCTGAAGCTGTTCTTGTTCATACTGCCGTTGCGTTTCACTGTCCCGTTTTGACAATGAAATCCGCATTCGTTCTTCCATTTCCTCGTCAAATTTACTGATGTTATCAAGTACAGGAGGTTGACTGGCTGATCTGACAAGCTGAAGAGAGTGATCACTGACAGGTATGTCATCAGTGAGTTTGTCGTATTTGATGTCACTGTATTGATCCCATCGACTATAAGGCACCTCGCGAGTAGATAAAGCATCAATCATGTCCTGGCTCTGACGTAACACGGCAGCTGATCTTGCAAAGGAGTCTTCAAGAGTGTTAAGCTTTCTAGCTCTTTGCCTTGATCGGACATTCTTTGCAGCAATAGGAGTACCAGTATCTGGTGTGCTGTCAAAACTTACACTCTTTTGTTTGGCGTCAGTAGCAGCTCTCACCGATTGTAATGTGTGGATCCTATCCCCGCGACCTGTAGTATCCACTGACCTTTCCATAGCTTCATCGATCTCTGTGGGTCTCTCAAGTGCTGTAAGGTATCTTGCCCTGGAATTTTCAAACCATTCGTTGTCATAAGCAAGTTTGTATGCCATTTTTGGAACTTTGCCTGCTTGCAACTCGACATTAACCTTATCTGGTACAGTTGCCTTGGCTTTAAGTGCAAGTCTCTGAGATCTTAAATCAGCCTCTGCTTTCACAGACTTTAATGTGTGGATTTTCTCTTTTTTGAACTCTGTGGAACTCAGGTCCCCTTTCTTCTCAAGTGCAGCCAAATATTTTGATCTTGAATCGTGGAAAGTTTTTTCGTCCATCGTAACAACAGGTTTCTTGATAATTTGTTTCACCTTTGGAGGCTCACTCAATGCTCTGCTAGTAAATGAAATATCCTTTGTGTTGATATCTTCAACCTGCTGTCTTTCCTTCACATCAATGTACTTATTGAATGCAGCCAAGTGATCCCATCTACTATAGGATGGCTCAGAGGAAACAGTCTCCGTCGAAGAGATTAAAGCATTGCTTTGTTTGGCTGTTAGATGGGCTTGTTCAAAGGCCATTTCCAGCTTTGCAAGCTTTTTGGATCGTAATCTTGATTGTGCTTTTTGGACGGTATGTTCCTCTTGAACAGGGGCTATGTAAGCTTCTCTGGGAGTTTTAGATTTCAATTCAGCTTTAACAGAGTCCAAAGTGTGCATTTGAATCACAGGTTTAGGCACATCAATCTCCTGTTGAGCTGGCCTTTCGAGAACTTGCATATAATTAGATCGTGATTTCTGGAACCAATCATCGTCATTGACAACTGAATATGTCTTCCTAGACACAGCTTTCTCGACAGGTTCTTTAACCAATGTTGGTTTAGGAATTTCTTTCTTCTGTTGTTTTGCCATTGCAGATGCCTGAACAGATGCCACAGTGAGGATCTTAGGTTTGATAAAATCTGGTAATTCTATCTTACGTGGGGCGGCAGTTGACAGGTAACTATTCCTGATCTGGTTAAATTCTTGTTCATTCATGGCTTTTCTCTTTTCTTTTTCCATTTTTGCCCTCGGAATTTCTTCGACCTCTTCTGGCTGAGAAGGAGGTTTAGAACGTTTCGGAATAACATACTCAACATCCTTATATATAACAGGCTCTCGTTTGGGAATGGAAGCTGCATGAGTTCCAATAGAATCAATCTTAGAAATACTGTCTTTCATGGCTACCCTTGCCTCTTCTAATGAATCAATGGCAGAGGTTTTCGGCAATTTATGCTTTACGCGTTTTGGCACAAAAGCAAACTGAGCAGGTGGCTCACTAACAGCCCTTGATCCATCTCTTTCTCTGATGGATTTGTACACTGATTCAAGAGTAAATATGTCCTCCTTTCTCTTTGGTGCTTCATACATTTCTGTGACGGCTGGTTTATCTAATACAGACATGTAACTTGATCTGGATTTATCAAACCAATCATCATCGTAAGAGATTTGGTAGGTCCTGAAGGATTTTCTAGCCTCAGTTGGCTCCTCAATAACCACCTTTTCTTTGGATTCTGGTGCAGGTTTCCATTGGTGCTGACGTTTGAGAGCGGAAGCCTGTACATCAGCTAGGGTAAGAATCTTCTCCTTTGCTAATTCAGGTATTTCTACTGTGGGACGCTTCAATTTGGCAAGGTATTCAAGTCTACTCTGATTAAACTCTGCCTCATTCATTGCAATCCTCTTGGCCTTTTCTGGTCTTTCCTTTATTGTCTCCACTTCTGGTCCATAGACCACTGCCTTAGCCTTTCTTGGTTTCTCATATTCTACATCCCTATATACAGCTGGCTCACGTTTGGTAATCACGGCAGCATGAGTTCCAATGGATTCTACTTTAGAAATGCTCTCCTTCATGGCGATCCTAGCTTGTTCCAAAGAGTCATCAAGTGATGGTTTTGTTAATTTCTTCTTGACGCGTTTGGCAATAGGACTAGTTTCAAATTGTGCTCGAGGCTCACTGACGGCCCTTGATCTTTCCTTTTCTCTGATGGATTTGTGCACTGAATCAAGAGTAAATATGTCCTCCTTTCTCTTTGGTGCTTCATACATTTCTGTGACGGCTGGTTTATCTAATACAGACATGTAACTTGATCTGGATTTATCAAACCAATCATCATCGTAAGAGATCTGGTAGGTCCTGAAGGATTTTCTAGCCTCAGTTGGTTCCTCAATCATCACCTTTTCTTTGGTTTCTGGTGCAGGTTTCCATTGGTGCTGACGTTTGAGAGCAGAAGCCTGTACATCAGCAAGCGTCAGAATCTTCTCCTTTGCTAATTCAGGTATTTCTACTGTGGGACGCTTCAATTTGGCAAGGTATTCAAGTCTACTCTGATTAAACTCTGCCTCATTCATTGCAATCCTCTTGGCTTTTTCTGGTCTTTCCTTTATTGTCTCCACTTCTTCTGGCTCAATGGCTTTCTTTGCCTTTCTTGGTTTCTCGTATTCTACATCCTTATATACAGCTGGCTCACGTTTGGTAATCACGGCAGCATGAGTTCCAATGGATTCTACTTTAGATATGCTCTCCTTCATGGCGATCCTAGCCTGTTCCAAAGAGTCATCACGGGATGGTTTTGTTAATTTCTTCTTGACGCGTTTGGCAATAGGACTAGTTTCAAATTGTGCTCGGGGCTCACTGATGGCCCTTGATCTATCTCTTTCTCTGATGGATTTGTACACTGAATCAAGAGTAAATATGTCCTCCTTTCTCTTTGGTGCTTCATATGTTTCTGTGACGGCTGGTTTATCTAATACAGACATGTAACTTGATCTGGATTTATCAAACCAATCATCATCGTAAGAAATCTGGTAGGTCCTGAAGGATTTCCTAGCCTCAGTTGGTTCCTCAATAACCACCTTTTCTTTGGATTCTGGTGCAGGTTTCCATTGGTGCTGACGTTTGAGAGCGGAAGCCTGTACATCAGCTAGCGTAAGAATCTTTTCCTTTGCTAACTGAGGTATTTCTACTTTGGGACGCTTCAATATTGCGAGGTACTCAAGTCTACTCTGATTAAACTCTGCCTCATTCATTGCAATCCTCTTGGCTTTTTCTGGTCGTTCCTTTATGGTCTCTACTTCTTCTGTTTCAACAACCTGCTTTGCCTTTCTTGGTTTCTCATATTCTACATCCTTATATACAGCTGGCTCACGTTTGGTAATCACAGCAGCATGAGTTCCAATGGATTCTACTTTGGACATGCTCTCCTTCATGGCGATCCTAGCCTGTTCCAAAGAGTCATCACGGGATGGTTTTGTTAATTTCTTCTTGACGCGTTTGGCAATAGGACTAGTTTCAAATTGTGCTCGAGGCTCACTGACGGCCCTAGATCTTTCCTTTTCTCTGATTGATTTGTGCACTGAATCAAGAGTAAATATGTCCTCCTTTCTCTTTGGTGCTTCATACATTTCTGTGACGGCTGGTTTATCTAATACAGACATGTAACTTGATCTGGATTTATCAAACCAATCATCATCGTAAGAAATCTGGTAGGTCCTGAAGGATTTCCTAGCCTCAGTTGGTTCCTCAATAACCACCTTTTCTTTGGATTCTGGTGCAGGTTTCCATTGGTGCTGACGTTTGAGAGCGGAAGCCTGTACATCAGCTAGCGTAAGAATCTTTTCCTTTGCTAACTGAGGTATTTCTACTTTGGGACGCTTCAATATGGCGAGGTACTCAAGTCTACTCTGATTAAACTCTGCCTCATTCATTGCAATCCTCTTGGCTTTTTCTGGTCGTTCCTTTATGGTCTCTACTTCTTCTGTTTCAACAACCTGCTTTGCCTTTCTTGGTTTCTCATATTCTACATCCTTATATACAGCTGGCTCACGTTTGGTAATCACAGCAGCATGAGTTCCAATGGATTCTACTTTGGACATGCTCTCCTTCATGGCGATCCTAGCCTGTTCCAAAGAGTCATCACGGGATGGTTTTGTTAATTTCTTCTTGACGCGTTTGGCAATAGGACTAGTTTCAAATTGTGCTCGAGGCTCACTGACGGCCCTAGATCTTTCCTTTTCTCTGATTGATTTGTGCACTGAATCGAGAGTAAATATGTCTTCCTTCCTCTTTGGTGCTTCATATGTTTCTGTGACGATGGGTTTATCTAATACAGACATGTAACTTGATCTGGATTTATCAAACCAATCATCATCGTAAGAAATCTGGTAGGTCCTGAAGGATTTTCTAGCCTCAGTTGGTTCCTCAATCACCACCTTTTCTTTGGATTCTGGTGCAGGTTTCCATTGGTGCTGACGTTTGAGAGCGGAAGCCTGTACATCAGCTAGCGTAAGAATCTTCTCCTTTGCTAATTCAGGTATTTCTACTGTGGGACGCTTCAATTTGGCAAGGTATTCAAGTCTACTCTGATTAAACTCTGCCTCATTCATTGCAATCCTCTTGGCTTTTTCTGGTCTTTCTTTTATGGTCTCTACTTCTTCTGGCTCAATGGCTTTCTTTGCCTTTCTTGGCTTCTCATATTCCATATCCTTATATACTGCTGGCTCACGTTTGGTAATCACAGCAGCATGTGTTCCAATGGATTCTACTTTAGAAATGCTCTCCTTCATGGCGATCCTAGCCTGTTCCAAAGAGTCATCACGGGATGGTTTTGTTAATTTCTTCTTGACGCGTTTGGCAATAGGACTAGTTTCAAACTGTGCTCGGGGCTCACTGACGGCCCTTGATCTTTCCTTTTCTCTGATGGATTTGTGCACTGAATCGAGAGTAAATATGTCCTCCTTCCTCTTTGGTGCTTCATATGTTTCTGTGACGGTGGGTTTATCTAATACAGACATGTAACTTGATCTGGATTTATCAAACCAATCATCATCGTAAGAGATTTGGTAGGTCCTGAAGGATTTTCTAGCCTCAGTTGGTTCCTCAATAACCACCTTTTCTTTGGATTCTGGTGCAGGTTTCCATTGGTGCTGACGTTTGAGAGCAGAAGCCTGTACATCGGCTAGCGTCAGAATCTTCTCCTTTGCTAACTGAGGTATTTCTACAGTGGGACGCTTCAATATGGCGAGGTATTCAAGTCTACTCTGATTAAACTCTGCCTCATTCATTGCAATCCTCTTGGCTTTTTCTGGTCTTTCTTTTATGGTCTCTACTTCTTCTGGCTCAATGGCTTTCTTTGCCTTTCTTGGCTTCTCATATTCCATATCCTTATATACTGCTGGCTCACGTTTGGTAATCACGGCAGCATGTGTTCCAATGGATTCTACTTTAGAAATGCTCTCCTTCATGGCGATCCTAGCTTGTTCCAAAGAGTCATCACGGGATGGTTTTGTTAATTTCTTCTTGACGCGTTTGGCAATAGGACTAGTTTCAAATTGTGCTCGAGGCTCACTGACGGCCCTAGATCTTTCCTTTTCTCTGATTGATTTGTGCACTGAATCAAGAGTAAATATGTCTTCCTTCCTCTTTGGTGCTTCATATGTTTCTGTGACGGTGGGTTTATCTAATACAGACATGTAACTTGATCTGGATTTATCAAACCAATCATCATCGTAAGAGATTTGGTAGGTCCTGAAGGATTTTCTAGCCTCAGTTGGCTCCTCAATCATCACCTTTTCTTTGGTTTCTGGTGCAGGTTTCCATTGGTGCTGACGTTTGAGAGCGGAAGCCTGTACATCAGCTAGCGTAAGAATCTTCTCCTTTGCTAATTCAGGTATTTCTACTGTGGGACGCTTCAATTTGGCAAGGTATTCAAGTCTACTCTGATTAAACTCTGCCTCATTCATTGCAATCCTCTTGGCCTTTTCTGGTCGTTCCTTAATTGTCTCTACTTCCTCTGTTTCAACAACCTGCTTTGCCTTTCTTGGTTTCTCGTATTCTACATCCTTATATACAGCTGGCTCACGTTTGGTAATCACAGCAGCATGAGTTCCAATGGATTCTACTTTGGACATGCTCTCCTTCATGGCGATCCTAGCCTGTTCCAAAGAATCATCACGGGATGGTTTTGTTAATTTCTTCTTGACGCGTTTGGCAATAGGACTAGTTTCAAATTGTGCTCGGGGCTCACTGACGGCCCTAGATCTTTCCTTTTCTCTGATGGATTTGTGCACTGAATCGAGAGTAAATATATCCTCCTTCCTCTTTGGTGCTTCATGCGTTTCTGTGACGGCTGGTTTATCTAATACAGACATGTAACTTGATCTGGATTTATCAAACCAATCATCATCGTAAGAAATCTTATATGTTCTGAAAGATTTCCTCGATTCAACTGGTTCCTCTTCTTTGAGTTTAACCTTTTCTTTTACTTCTGGTTTTCTTAGCTGATGTCTAATGGCCGACGCCTGAACTGAAGCCAAGGTGTGGATCTTATCCTTCTTGAAATCTGGTACTTCTATCTCACGTTTCTTCTCCAATGCTGTCAAATATTGTTTCCTACTCTGTCTGAATTCTTCTTCCATCAAATCACGCTTCTTTTCTTTGTCAGGTCTTTCCTGAGGCTTTTGTTCTATTTCTGCTTCAACTGGCGGCTCACTTATTGCACGAGGACGTTTCTTTTTCTCATCGAAAGTGATATCTGAAATTTTGTTCAATATGCTCACGTGATCATATTTGCTAGTAACAGCATGTGTTCCGATTGTTTCAATCTTAGACACACTTTCCTTCATTGCAGCTCTAGCCTGTGTCAAAGCTTCCTGATTATATCTAGGTTGTCTGGTCTTTTTTGACTTCAGACGCTTTGTCAACGGAGTTTCCTCCACAGGGGATAGTGGCTCACTTGTGGCTCGACTGTCTCTTGCCTTCTTTGACATTGAATCTTTAACAGACTGGAGAGTAAAGATTTCTTCCTGTTTCGGTTTCACTATTTGTTCTGTAGAGAAGTCAGGTTTCTCAAGTGCTCTGAGATACCTTGAACGTGACTTTTCGAACCAATCATCGTCATATGCAAGTCTGTACGTCTTGCTTGGTTTCTGTAGTTCAAGTTCAGCTGGAGGCTCACTTGTGGCACGTGATGGTTTTTCTGGCTTGCGAGGTTTTGCTGCCTCTCTGGCTTCTGCTGATGCTCTCACAGAGGCCAATGTGTGTATCGTCTGCTTCTTAAAACTCAAATCCACTGCGCTTTCTTCATGACGCCTAAGTGCAGACATATACTTTGTTCTTTCTTTCTCAAAATCCTCTTCCGATGTTTTGACCTTAGTTTTTTCCATTAACTTCGCTCTCTGTTCTACAACATATTCATCGACAGGTGGCTCACTGATAGCACGATCCCGTTTCCTCTCTTCTTTATGTGATAGGTCCTTGTATTTATTGAATGCTCCAAGATGATCCCACTTCGCTCCTACTACCCCGTGAGTTCCAATAGCCTCAGCCTTTGACAGTGTTTCCTTCATAGCTGTCCTGGCACTTTCAAATTCCAATCCAGCATATGGCGCCTGTTTTGAACGCAGTTTTGTTCTAAGACGCTTGGAGATGACTTGTTCCACCATTGGTTCTGGCGGTTCACTCGTTGATCTGCTCTGTTTCTTTCTAATGTCTGACTGTACAGAGGCCAGGGTAAAATATCCTTCTGTCTTCACTGGTTGTTCATCAACTTGCATACGTTTGGGTCTTTCCAGTGCAGCAAGATATCGAGCCCTTTCTTTATTGAAATATTCCTCTTCAAAGTTCACCTTCTGTTTTTCAGTGACTTCTGGTACCAATTTTTCAACTGGAGGTTCGCTGATGGCTCGGGAGGGTTTGATAATTTCAACACCTCTGCGCTTCACAACAGCTTTCACAGATTCTACTGTGTGCATTGGTTCTTCGTAGCGCGTCGTATCTATTACTTTCTTAGGAGACAACACAGAAATGTATTCAGAACGGACCTCATCAAACCATTTCGTGTCCCTGGGCACATATCTTTTACGAGAAACTGAATCAACAACTGTTTCTTCAACAGGAGGTTCGCTGATGGCCCTAATTTTCTTTGACATGGTAGAGGCTCTCACAGACTGCACAGTGTGTATATCCTCTGATTTGCCTACAATGCAAGATTTCGAATATGAACAAGCAGCGTAGTTACTTTATGGATCCTAGAACTGAGATTATAACAATTGTGCTTCATCTTTTATCTCACTGACGTCATCTGTGCCGTGGGTGAAGAGGATGTGGGTTTCATCGAACATTCTTGGAGAAATGTAAAGGATCCATGGAGACGGCAATTCTAGGTATTTCATGAAGATAGAACTGCCTTAGGTTGTTCGGCAGGTGCATTCCTGGACAAAGGTTTACAGAGGAGCAAGTAACAAGGAAAATCCAACAAAAGGAGAAAAGTCACATAGGATCTGTTGAGTCCACCTCACCAGCTGAAGATCTGGAGAAGGAGGGAGGAAAATCGTCTTTTGGATTCTAAAAAGGGCATGCGAGGTTTGAAGACATTTTGAAGATGGTACACATGTACATGTTCGGGATGTTCATTGGCGGACGATCTCGTCCATGGTTCAGCACACAGAGAATCCAAGGTGGAATACACAAATTTATCCAGGTTATGACACTCAGTAAGCTTGTCGTGGTACATTTTGCGAGGGATCTATGTCGCCAGGACATTTGTAGGATTCACATGGAGGAAAGCGGATGCATGATAGAAGGTATACAAGAGTACAAATGATACACAATAAAAAGGAATAAAGGCAACAAGTCCACAGGATATGACTTTTTATTTCTAATTCTTCAGTCCAATATTACGCTATATTAACACTTCTGAAAAAAGACCACAGCTGCACAACTGTAGTACCTAACTTGAATTCATACAAATTATGACGGGTCATGTTAAGCCAGCGATATAACACATGCTGAAGTTTTACAGCCTTAAGCAAAATGTCCACATAATTTGTGGAATATCCATGTGAAGTATTATTTGATAAATCATTAAAATCAACAAAACAATTCTAAAAGCAAAATAGGTTTAGTGTCAAATTATTCAAATTATTTCAAATCTTGTTAGATTAGAAACTGGTTTGAAACTTTTAATTCTCTTTAGATAATTATCAAAAAACTAACACTTTTAAATTTTTTTATGTTAATGAACTGAAAATTGGTACTTGTTTGTTGGGTTACTCGCAAAATGAGTGGTTTATGTATTTGTACAGTCAATGTTGGCACATGCAGGCAACAATAGGCATTAGGTAGGCACATGCAAAACATGCTGGCACAGAAGATATCTGTTTATATTATCCTTATAAGCTAAACTACAGCAACAAAATTATAAGCTAGCAAAGATTACTAACAGCAAATTATAAAAGCAGCAATGAACTCAAATACAGAACAAATTGTGAATCATTAATATTTATTATTTCATCTTAATGTTTTTTCTAAAGCAACATTGTTTTAATTATTGTGAGATCCAAGAGTTATTTTATGAAACATCATGATAAACAAAATGAATATGTTAGTTTTTAAGCTTCAGCTTACATGACAAATATCACAGTGTTAATATCCTCAACTTTCAATCTCCTTTTTTTTTTTAACATTTTGAACAAACATCCTGAGGACAACTGAATGTCACTAGTCTGATGATGTTCAGCAACAAATTATCGGACAATTTTTTCAAAGTATGACTGAAAGTTAAGGACATTTTTTCCATAATGTAATTTGAAAGTTAGACTTACCATACATCCTCTTAGGTGTAATAGCAGAGGTGGATTCCAAAGGTGCACTTCTTCCATAGCGGTTTTCAGCAATGACCCGGAAGTAGTAATCATGACCTTCCATCAGACCCGGGATGTTGACAATGTTTACGTCAGACGCTAGACGCGTCACATTGACGTAGGATTGCCTACTTCCCTCACGTTTCTCAACAATATAGCCAGTCAAAGGAGAGCCTCCATCTGATTTTGGTGGTCTCCATTCGAGGGACACGCTGTCACGTGTCACACTCAGGGCTTTGATTGGACCAACGGGAGCTGAAGGTGGACCTGTATTAACAAATCAAAATGTCCCTGTTTATAAAGTTCTAAAAGCGTTGTTATCAGATCTCAAGTATGCAAGAAGAGAGATTTTTGTACACATATATCACTATTCAAACAAAGTCTTCCCCTAAATGCTTCTGACCAAATTCGGTCAAAATCTTCTCAGTTGTTTATGACTAGTCGCAATTTTTAGGACTGACAGATGAACGATAGACACTGCAGTATGCCACAAGGCTCACTTAGCCTTTCAGGCCAGGTGAGCTAAAAATAACAATTTATTTCAAATATGATATGAGTCTCTCATCATGAAAATCACAACATATTTCACTTACCAAATTTACTCTTCGGTTTTACAGCGCTGTCGGACTCGAGGGGCGGGCTAAGGCCAGCCTCATTCTCGGCCACCACTCGGAAGTAGTACTCCACATTTTCGATGAGATTTGACACATCCAATGAGAGTTGGTCTGGTGGGCAGCGTGCCACACGCAACCATTTGGGACGACGGGCTTCACTCTTCTCAACCATGTAAGCAGAAATCCTTGATCCTCCATCCCTCTCAGGTGCTCGCCATGATAATCGTACATGGTCCTCAGTGATGTCAGATATGTCCAAAGGACCACGGGGAGCAGATGGTTTTTCTGATTTATGATAAAACATTTAATGTCATTCCAAAATATAACACCAAAATTGTTTAATAACAAATTGTAGTTACTATTAGGATTATGATAATATGGATCTAATGTTGACATTATATTTGTGATCATGTGAAAAGTACCTCTATCTCACTCCTGGATAAACCAGAGCCTAATTCCTTGTACAGTGGCCTTATATTAAATAGCATATGCTGGTATTTTTATTTGCCAGTGGCTGCTGTAGTTCATGTTCTGTTAAATTTGTGATAAAAGATTGAAAAATGAATTTCTTCATAGTTCACAAGCACACAGCAGAAGATATGAAAACCCAAAATAAAAACAAACCAGTTCCTTCTAATTTTAAATTAGGTTTTCCACAACCAAACTTTATTTTTCCTGCCCTGCCTACTTTTAACTCACCTATGGTTTTCTTAGTGCTGACAGCAGTGTCAATTTCTCTTGGTTCACCAAGGCCTATGGCATTCTTGGCACGAACACGGAATCCATAACTATAGTCATCAATGAGGTTACGAATGGTCAGTGAGTGGACATGACTCTCTACCTCTTTCACACGCTGCCACTGGCCAGAAGTACCATCCCTCTGTTCGATGAGATAACCAGTTACCATAGCACCGCCATCATAGCGTGGACGCTTCCAGCGAAGTGTGGCAGCATTGTGGCTCACTGTGGATACGTCAAGGTTTTCTGGGGGCCCTGGTGTTTCTGTGAAGCAAGCATAGAAACTAAATAAACTTCCAGTAAGAAATACACTGATCAGAATGTTAAATGAATATTGTTAAAAGTTACTATGATAATTCAAATATTACCCTTTTTCATGACTACATTGTCTGTTAAATTTCTGACAGATGCCTGATCTTTACCAAATTTCATATATACCTTGAGCACGTTCTGGTGTGATTGCCTTATCTAACACAGCAGGTTCACTGAGTCCTTCAGAGTTCTCGGCGAAGACACGGAAAATGTAACTTCGGCCTTCAAGAAGACCTCTGGCTGTATATCCTAGTGTCTTTGGAGACACACTGTCAACTCTCACCCACTGGGCACGGCCAGGCTCACGTTTTTCTATACAGTAGCGAGTGATAGGAGCACCACCATTACTGTCAGGAGTAGACCACTCTAGGCTAACACTATCTTCTTTCTTATCTGTCACCTGGAAGTCTCTGGGCTTAGATGGTACCTCTGTAATATATATTTTACAGATGTATTTAGTTGAAACCATATATTTATAAACGACAACAGCAACTAAACAACAGTTTTAACAATCTTCTATCGCTGAAGAAAAAGAAGATTTCTTTCAATGAAGATTGAAAAACCATAAATAAAATTGTATCAAATAGTGTAAAAGCCTAACAGAAATTCTGATCTAAAAACAATTCTCTGGATCATAATCCTTTGTTGAATTGTTTCAGCAACCACTTTAATCATGATATAAGATTATTAACAAAATTGAGTAACCAAATTACTAAGCAGAAACACTATTGACCTTGACCTTTTAATTATTTTACATACTAACCTACGGCACTAACAGCCTTGACCAGACTCCTCAATTCGGCAGGGGCACCAACTCCAACTTTGTTCTCAGCATACACACGATAGTTATAATCATGGCCCTTGATAAGACCACTCACTGTGCACTCTGTAACATCGGCTGGAAGTTTGGTCGCACGAGACCAGCCTCCCCATTGACTGTCAAGTTTGTCTACTATGTAACCTGTCAATGGGCTATTGCCATCCTCTGTAGGTGGCTGCCATGACAGAGCCATAGATTCCTTTGTTATATCAAAGACTTTGAGGCCTCTTGGAGCTCCAGGAACCTCTGTGGACAGAAATTGATGAAATTTATGACATAGGAAGTTCCCAAAACAATTTGAATTCCTTTTCCAATAAACAATTTTTTTTTTCAGTATGATTTTACTAAATCAGGAAGGGACAAAATTTACCTGCTGGACGTGATGGAGTAATTGTTTCGTCCAACTCATTTGGTTTACCGAGTCCAACCTCATTTTCAGCACAAATGCGGAACTCATAGGGCACACCTTCTTCCAGACCAGTTATGATCTTTTGGAAGGTGCGGGCTGGAACCTCAGCAACTGTTGCCCAATTTCCTGAGCGTGTGTTTAGGGCTTGAATGATGTAGCGTTTGATTGGAGATCCTCCATCATCTGTTGGTTCTTTCCAGGCCAAAGTTACAGAGTCTTGGGTCACATGACTAGCATGTATTTTACCAGCAGGTGGACCTGGTTTTACTGGAGAGGCAAGAAAGGGGAGAGAACTCTGAATTAGTTATGGAAAAGTTTTAATTGATTCAATGAAAATGTATATCAACTGTATAATTTTAAGCAATATAACTGAACTGGTAGCTGGTATAATTAATCTTATATCTTATCAGCTTACCTGCTTGTTTTCTAGGAATGACGGCATCAGTCTCAATAGGTTCACTGAGGCCTTCCTCATTCTCAGCCATCACACGGAAGAAATACTCTGTTCCCTCCCTTAGACCACTGACAGAAATTGAAAGAGAGCGTGTTGAGTCAACCTTTGACCAGTTGAATCGCCATCCCTCACGACGTTCCACTATGTAACGTTTAATTGGCTTGCCACCGTCTGATTCTGAGGGTTTCCATGTGAGGACTGCTGAGTTGGTGGTGACATTGGAGACCTTCAGAGGTCCAATAGGAGCAGATGGTACACCTGAAAATGAGTTTTTCAATAGAGTAACTACTGGGAGGTATTCCTTATTATGTATCTTACAGTTTTTTTCTTCTGGAAGTTATATATATATAAATCAATACACAAAATTTACGTCCCCATTTAGGGCAAATGCCTCATCCAACAATAATATTTCTACTGACATTTAATCAGTGCCTAGCAATAAGATCAATCATGCATAAAATATTTTTAGCAGAAATACTCAACTATGTTTCGAGAGTCTGAATTTATTACGGACTAAATTAATTCAACTTTTACAATTTACCATTTTTCATTCTCCAATAGTTACTAGCATCAAAGGGCAGTTTTAGGCAAGATGATAAGCCCTTGACAAAATATTGCACTGACTGACTACATACCAGAAGGAGCACAAATCTACATGTCTGATATAAAGTAGAGATATCACAAGTCTGTCAGAATGAAAACTTACTATAAGGACTCTTTGGAGTGAATTCTTCAACACTCTGTAAAGGCTCTGAGCTTCCAATCTTGTTTTCAGCTTTGACTCTGATGAGGTAGCTGGTCTTGTCGTTGAGACCTGTCATCTTGTATGTGGTGTTGTTGGCACGGATACGATCCACAGGGGACCAGCTCGACTTCCAACTCTCCTTTCTCTCGATGGAATAGTGTGTGATTGGTGAACCCCCATCGAAGAGACTGTGGTTCCAGGAAATGTTAGCAGAATTCTTTTGGATGTTAGAAATTTCCAGAGGACCTTCTGGTGCCGATGGTACAGCTTTAAACGAAAAATCATTTCAAAATTGATTTCATGAAAATTTACAATTGAATCTACCGTAAAGTTAAAGATAAATATTTTTTTGTCACTTCATCCATTTCAACTTTTAGAAATTCTTTTACCTTTTATGAAATTAAATATGTATATATAACTTAGCACTATTAGATGTTATGAGCAGAGGTAATAGCAGCAAATGTGAACCTTTGCTAACAGTACGTTTAAGGGCCCCAAAATGATAAACTTTATGTTTGTAATGTAATTTTACAATACTCACTAAGGGCTTGTTTTGGAGAGGAAGGCTTGGTAACTCCCTTTTCTCCTATTCCGATGGAATTTTCTGCAGCCACACCGAACACATATTTCTGTTCGTGATTGAGCTTGGTAACATTGTGGTGACCTCTGTAGGGTTCAACTGTCGCCAGCTCCCTCCAGGTGTTCTCATCCTTCATGTACACACGGTACTGTTTGATGCGAGCTCCACCGTCGCTATCAGGCTGCGTCCAGTCTACACCTATCTCACCTTCACCAATTCGTCCAACGTTTACATTTGGTACACCAGGTAGTGCTGTAATGCCATCAATAATCAAAGCTTTATCTAATTTCGAAAATATAGGAAGAATTTCAGTGATGTGTTGGTATAGAAATTTGCCCAGACAGTTTTTAACTGTAAAGTATCATTGATACAAAACTACCATCATGCAGAAGAAGAAAGCAAAAAGACAGAACAATCAATCTTTTTTCAAAATTCTGAAATTATTTTAATCAGTCAAAAAAATTTGATAAAACTTGCTTTTGTTCTGCTAGAGAAACTAAAGTTTACAATAATAGCCTAACTTTGACTCCTTTGTAACAAAATTCCTTTTTAAGTACTACTTATAAAAAGATAACTTTTGTCATAAAAATGAAATTTCATACGGTCACTTACACAGAATCTTCTTTGGTTTGACTCCACTGGGACCTTCAAGTGGTGGACTTTCGCCCTCGGCATTGACAGCACGGATTCTGAAGTAGTATTCATTATCTACCACAAGGTTTTGCACTGTGAACTTGTTAACTCCCGGTTCCACTTGTCCTGCTTTGCCCCACATGGAGCGACGCACTTCACGCACCTCAATGGTGTAGTGTGTGATTGGAGTTCCGCCATCTTTTTCTGATGGTCGCCATGCGAGGTCAACAGAGTTGGCGGTGACGTTGGTAGTTTGGAGTGGACCTACTGGTGCTGAAGGTTTGTCTGGAAAGAAAGAGGCATGATCATAACATCTTGTATTTGTCCAAAAAATTCACATCTTATATAAGAGAATCTTGTCCAAGAAGATAAACTTTGATTTTAACATTCAAATATCTTTTCCATTATTTAGAAAATTAAAAATGAAGTGTCTGGTGTGGATATTGATTTCATCAGATTTTTCAATAAATACATCATATTTAATATATCACATATATCTTTATTTTATAATACATGTATATACGATACTAAAGAATGGAAAGATTTTTCAATATAGGTTAAGTACTAAGAAACAGGAATGCTGACAATATCTGAATAGTTCAACAGTCAATTCTCAAAGAGTATTTATACTAACCATATGGACTCTTGATCAGTATAGGTTTTGGAGTTTCCAATGGAAGACCCTGACCAACCTTGTTAACTGCTGACACCCTAAAGAAGAACTCTGACCCTTCAGTCAGTTTCTTAATTAAGATGTTCAGATTGGCTGTACGGTCGACAAACGTCCAAATTGACCTCATGAGATCACGACGCTCTACGACATAACTTGTGATCGGGGATCCTCCATCAGTTTCTGGCTCATTCCATTCGAGGCTAATAGTGTCATGTGACAATGCCTTAGCAACAATTGGCTCAGTAGGAGGTCCAGGAACGCCTATACAAAACAAATACAAGCACAAGTTGCAATGGAAACAAATCTTTAACATGAATGTATATGGAAATCTTACCCCAGAAAACTATAGAATAAATGACCAAATATATTATCCTGAAATCGAACATTAAATAATCCATGAAAAATAAGTGATAAGAGAGCTGTCCAGAATCAAATCTCTCCAAACTTACGGAGTTCCTTAGTTGGTGTGATGCGTTCTGACTCCAAATATTTGCCGGCTCCGACACGGTTGATTGCACATACACGGAACTTGTAGGTCTTGTCTGTGGTTAGGCGTTTAACATTGAGAGTTGTTGTCCTGGCATCTGTAGTGTCAACTTCTGACCAAGGTTTATCCATTGACCAGCTCTCCACCTTGTAAGATGTGATGGGGGCGCCACCATCATTCATCGGTGACAGCCATGACAAGGTCACGCTTGTCTCGTCGAGGTTACTGTGACGGAGGGGGCCCTTGGGCTCATCCGGCACAGCTATTAATTGACAAAAAGAAATATATTAAAATTTATAAACAAGAAATTGATTAAAAAACTTAATCAATATCAATTTTACATTTACATCGGTGACAAAATCATCAGAGGGTACCACCAGAAGTATTATGATGTTTGACAGTTGTTACATTGGCAATAGAGCTCCAATGAAAACATGGAAATATCAAGATGAAACCAAAACTGAAATTCTAACATAGAACCAATAAAAAATAAAATTTCAAAAAGAAAAAGATAAGGTGCTTCTGGATGTGTCTTCTGCTTCATAGGCTATACCTGTTAATTTCTGAAAAAAGTTCTGGGTAATGTCATGTTCTCAAAAAAAGAGTCAGGATAGTGATGATGGAAAAAAACTTGAAATAAATAAGTCAACCTGAAGTACAACCTAGATGATATACATGAGGACTGCCAGAGAAGACAAATCCTTAAAGTAAGCATTGCCTCCTTTCCCCCACCTTGCCTCCCCTTGCCTTCCCTTGTATTCCCTAATGTTCCCTTTCTTTTCCTCTCCTCTCCTTCACTATGCTGCTTGCTATGTTAGAAACATTTCAGATAGCCTTAGTCGTCATTATAAACATCTGTTAATATCTATAAGAATCTCTTGTTTCACAATACTCACTGGCCTCGGGCGAGAGAACAATTGGCTGGTTCATTTCTACAAAAGGACCTTGACCTTCGTCATTGGAGGCAGACACACGGAAGAAATATTCCAAGTTGATACGGAGATTGAGCACACTACAGGATGTTGATTTCTCAGTGCATTCCTTGACCCATGAACCATATCTTTTCTCACGACGTTCCACCTGATAGCTTTTAATTGGCAGTCCACCATTGTCTTCCGGTTCAAGCCAGGAAAGTCTCAGTGAAGTGGACTTCATGTCCGATGCTTCCAGATTTCTTGGAGCAGATGGTGGTTCTGGAAAATAATTAATTATAGTAGAAGTGTATTCATTTAATAACACAGTACTTATCTGTAAACCAACAAATACACATACATAATTATCTGGCATCTGGAAAAATATTGAAGAAAACTGAAGTTTCGTCCATGAAAAACCATTGCAATGAGGCCATGCCCGGTAATAAGCCCATCCAAATTTATTTCTTTTCAGTATAGTTAACACACATTTTTTTTACCTGGAGCTTAGCCTATTACAGAAAAAAACACTTACTGTACTGGCTCTTTGGTTTGATAGAGGAATCGCCCTCAAGGGGTTTGGAGTTGCCAGCTTTGTTGACAGCTATAATCTGGACATGGTATTCTTGTCCCTCACGCAGGTTGGTGAGAGTGGTTGTCAAGGTATCGCTGGCCACCTCTGTCACTCGTGTCCACGACATCCTCCAGCCTTCTCTCATCTCTACGATGTAGCCAGTGATAGGAGAGCCACCGTCTGACTTACTTGGTTGCCAAGCAATATTAGCTGATGATTTTGTAACATCGCTAACAACAATTGGGCCGACAGGTGGTGAAGGAGGTGCTAGAATAAAAAAAAAATAATAATTTTTATCTGATAAAGATCTGAGTTGCATTCTGCCAAGAGATATGTTGTAAAATATGAGATAGCGAAAAATACAGAAACTGTGCCACCAAACACAATTATTTTGTCACTTACCAATCGGCTTAGTGATGGTTGTTCCCTTCGCAGTGGCAGCCTTCTCACTCATACCGACGTCATTTTCAGCTGCGACGGCAAAGTAGTAGGTCTCGTCAGTCATCAGATTGTTGATAGTCGTGATTGTGGTGAATCGGTCCACAGAAGTAAGTTTCCTCCAGTCTGTTGATTTATCTGTTCTTTGGTACACATGGTAACGGTTAATACGTGATCCTCCGTCACTGTCAGGGGCGCTCCACTCAAGCGTGGCTGACGATTTCACAATGTCTGTTACTCTTACATTTTCAGGACAAGATGGTACACCTACAAGGAAAGTCAAAGCAACAAGTAAATATATATATAAAAATAATTCTGATTAAACAGGTTGCCCTGAAAATTTCCTCAAAATCTGCATGCAATATTGATTTCTAAACATCTTCATAACAAAATCAATAACTTCTTCAAGTAAATTAAATTAAATTAAAAAGATGATAATTTTATTAACACGTTTTTTTTTTTTTTTAAATTGTAGACATGTAATTTCAATGTTTCCATCTATTCAAGCTACCGCTCAAGTAATTTCTAAATTCCTCCCACCATGGTTGAATTGGTTAAATGACAAAATGGAATGCAATTTAATCATTAAACAAGAAAATACCTGTTACACATAAATATTTATATTCTCATCCTTCACAACAGGATATAACCAAAGGACATATCCCAACCGAGAAATGGCAAGGACATCAAATCTGCATTTAACATATTGAACTCTGTTTCCACATCTCCTATTTAACAATTTATGACTACCGGTCCCAATTCTCTCTCTGCCCTGTTAAATTACTTGACTTACTGAGTTTCTTGGAAGGTTTAGCAGTTTCTGTAGAGGTCAGATGTGGGCCTTGACCAACACTGTTGACAGCGCTGACCCTGAAAGCATACTCGTATCCAATCTGCAGGCCATGTACCATGTGATGCAGTTGGTCTGGTTTGACCTCTGCAGACTTTGTCCAGTAGGTACGTTTGACATCACGATATTCTACAATGTAGGCCGTCAAGGGTTTGCCTCCATCACTAGCTGGTGGTTGCCATGATACCTCAGCTGAAGAGTTGTTTACACTTCCAATCTTCATGGGACCCTCAGGTGCAGAGGGCAGACCTGAAAATAAGGTAATTACAAGAATTCAAAAAAGGCAACACACACTACAGTGAGCATATTTAACAATGTAGAATATGTGACAACAAATATGATGAATTTTTTAGGACCTCATCAACAAAAGAAGATAAAACATTTATGTGACCAAGACTTACCATATGGGCTCTTAATAAGAACTGGTTCATCAAGAGTCAGTGGTTCACTAACGCCATGTTTGTTCTCAGCTGAGACACGGAACAGGTACTCCGAGTTGAGAGATAAATTCTGGGCACAGTAACTCGTAATGTTTGGATTGGTTTTGTCAATGCTCTTCCACATTACACGAGATTTTTCCTTCATCTCAATTACATAGTTCTTAAGTGGTGATCCTCCGTCATCGGTGGGAGGCCTCCATTCAATGGTCACTGAGTTCAATGAAATATCGTAGACAGCCATCGGGCCTTGTGGTTTAGATGGTGGACCTGCAAAATGTTACCAAATTGTATATCGTGATCAAACCTGTTTTAAATGCTACCGTGCTAGAGAATGCTTGTAAATTACATCAAATAGCTATGCTTTGCTTCTGGTGGAAATGAGGCTCAACATGACTCAGGCATTTATAAAAAGAGGTCCATAGGGCCTGTATTGCTCACCTGGATCCTAACGCCCAGCAATGTTATACAAGCTTATAGGTTGGGTATTTATTTCCAAATTAAAGCTCAGCCAATTAACCTCTTTGATGGGAGAAGACCAAAAATATAGCTATAAATAATGTCCCTTGAGGTCTGCCACACCCAAGGGTCAATTCTTATATAAAAAATTGTCTATATCTTGATTCCAAGTAATTCTGTATAAATATGGTTATAGTATTGGGATTTCAACTGTTTCAAATATATCACCAAGAAATTAAGTTCAGAGAGGCCACATCCAAAGGTCAGATCTTACATTGTGAATGTGTTTATCTCTTGATGCCTAGCATTGGCATATATGGTTTAAGGGTAGGGATCTCAACTGTTTCAAAGATATTGAAATGAAAAAGACTGCATTGTAGTTGGGTCAGACCCCAGGTCCAATTCTTAAATCACGATTGTGTTTATCTCTTTATGTCATTCAATGCTCTACCTTGTGATGGGATGGGGAGCTAAACAATTTTCAAACACATTTTCCCATTGAGTGCCTCCCCTTTTATATTTTTTTTGTATTTAAAGATAAACATGTTGTGGCTTACCTCCTGGACGACGAGGTGTGAAGTAGTCAGAGTCCAGTGGCTTGCTGGCTCCAACCTTATTCACAGCCATCACTCTGAACATATACTGTTGACCTTCTTTAAGGTTCGTGGCTCGGTAATCTTTGCGATATTTGTCAACAATTTCCACATCAGTCCATGTATTACCATCTTCAGATACCTGAATCTGGTAGGATGTGATTGGACTTCCTCCATCATCCTTTGATGGATTCCAGTTCAAAGTCACAGCATCTGTCTTCTCATCTGAGAATCGGATCGGACCAACTGGGGATGCTGGTACACCTACAAATAAGTTACAAAACTTTCAATGTTTTGCATACATGACAATATATTGTTCTTTCTGTACAAAATGAAATAGTTGATAGAAACTGGTTATAAATAAGAATTGAAATTAATTCTGGTACTTTTTTTTTTAAAGAAAAGTCATTTTACAAATTGTTTAATATTCTGATATTTTGAACAAGCATTTATTTCAAAAAAAGACATTTCTTTATTCAATTCAAAATGAAATATTCCTTTGTTCTAGATGCAGTTCTTGATCAGTTATTATAAACATATACACAAAGTCTTAAGTTAGTATGCCTCACAACAACTATTAAAGAAATAATTCAAACTAATTTGTAAATATTAAAATTGTTGTTAATGAAGTTAAAACATGTTGCACTATAAATTTGATCAGAGTTTTGGCTCGCCACGTCTTTCGGACCTGCAGGTTTAAATGGTATGACAGCTTCTGTTGATTCCAATGGCTCACTGAGTCCTTCATCGTTGATGGCAAAGACACGGAAAAGGTATTCATTTCCCTCAAGAAGGTTCTGTATACAGTAGGTAGTGATATGTGGGCGCACCTCGTCCACGTATACCCACACTGTGCGACGTCTGTCCCGACGTTCCAACTTATATCCATTGAGCGAGAGACCACCTAGATTATTGGGCGGTGACCAGTTCAGAACTACAGAAGTCTGTTTGATTTCCGAAATGACCAGATCTCTTGGTGGTGAAGGCTTGGCTGGAAATTTGAATGCACTGGCTTGTTAGTAATGATACCATAAGCAGTGAGTTGTAAAGCTATGACCATAGTTGATTTTAGTTCTGTAAGTAACTGGCTAGCAATTATACTACAAGATACTAGATCACTGGTGATGTTTGATACATTAACAACCGTATTTACTTACTTTTACCTGTAAATCACATGACTTTTAAACTCAAACAGTGATCTAGTATCCTAATTGATTAGCTTCTTGAATAATTTTCCTTCTTTTGAAATGAAAAACTGTTCTCCTTTGTTTGAAATAAAGATACAATCACACTAATTTGGAATGACAAATTTGTAGGCAATATAAATTTAAAGATTTATTAATTATTTTATATTGAAACATTAGACATGTGTCAGGAATATTTATAGAAGAAGCATTAAGTTTAACTTTAGCTAGTCAATGTATGAGTCAGCTTTTGTGAAACAACAATCATTAGAATTAACATGCAAAATGCTATCAAATAAAATTTAACTTCAGAAAATTGAACAGCTAAAATAAAATATTGATTTTAATGAAAAAAATCATAAATTGCTGGAAAATTAAAAAAAAAAAAAAGATAATAATAATTACCCTGTAATATCAGAATGAATGATCAAACCAAACACTGCCAGCATAATAATGTTATTTACTAGTAGATTTTAATAAGCTAGAATTAGTAGGATCTTATCACACACAAACATATCTCTACACAGTCAAATAACAATCTATAAGCCACCCTTTAAATGAGTTTGTCAAATAAGGTGTTGGCTTTTCATGTTTTCAAACATTTTTTATGACTACATACTCAATGTTTTAATCATCACAGACAATGATAAATGTACTACACACTATATAGAGTGTTCTTCCACTTACCAAACTGGCTCTTTGGTACAACATTGGCTGAGGTCTCAAGCCAATCAGAGCGTCCGATGGCATTTTCTGCACAGACCTGGAACCTGTATTCCTGATTTTCCTTCAGGTGTTCGGCAATGAGTGTGTGTTCCCGTGGACCAACCTTTCCACATGGAGACCAGGTGGATTTCCAGCTCTCACGTTTTTCTACGATGTAGCGAGTGATAGGAGAGCCTCCATCGTCAGGAGACGTTTTCCATGTCAAGGTCACCTGGTTTTTGCGGATGTCTGTGGCTTCTAAAGGAGCACCAGGGGGAGCTGGTCTCTCTGTGGGAGACAGAGACAATGACATGTTAGCAACTTTGAACCCAAAATCAGCAAATTAGGTGTTTATAATGAAAATTTTTGCAAAGACAATTTACATATTCAATAGTTTCTAGATAAACAGGACACACCCACAATATATCTTTTGTATCAAATTCTATTCTTTACTATCAAACTAAGACCAGCAATAACAGAACTTGTCTGAAATATTTACGGTTTATGAATTTAAATATTTTTATAAAAAAATACATTGTGACACTAAGGATTTTAATATCTTATAAAGTCAAGCTCAAATTCTGAACACAAACATTTATAAAGGAAGAAAATGTTTTAATAGTGCTCTGCCACGGTAACCAATGAAAGCATACTCACCTTTAGGCTTAGCCCCTTTCACTGATTTGTCAGCTTTGCTGACGTCACCGACACCAGCCTCATTTTCAGCAGCTACAGCAAAGTAATACTCTGTACCGTCCTTAAGTCCACTAATGGTGTTGGTGTTCTCATAGGCATCAACCTTAGCCACATTTATCCAATTAGATGGAGAGCCTTCAGCCTTCATCACGTGATAATGAGTGATTTTCGCACCTCCATCTGAGGATGGTGCACCCCAGGTGATCGTCGCGAATGTGTCACCTGATTTAGACAAGCGCACAAACAATGGTGGCCCGGGAGGTGCTATAAAATAAAAAGTAATAACCATTACTTGACTTTAACAGTTATGTCTGTAAGTGAAATTTGTATTGTACATACATATCTATATATCTAATTTATTATGTCATAAGTCCGACAATCTATCATAGGAATTCTAGCATAGAGACAGGGCATATTTTATGAGGATGAAATAACACTTGCTGGCAATTGACCTTAATGATAACAAATATATGCTTGTTTAATACAAGTTATAGTTATGTCCTACAATAAATCTCAGCAGTTATCAGTGTCACAAAGACAGTGTTGTAGTCATTTCTTAACATTAGTCTGTATCTATTAACATCAGATGAAGACATTCATCTTGAGAAAGACAAGAGGAATTTGTTTCTGTGTAACCTAAAAAAGCTTTGATACTCTGGAAGTAAAATAAAAACATTTAAATACTAATCGAGAAATTATCGAAAACATTTCTGTCAGATTTAGAAAATATTTCCATTATCAATCACAGACAATTTCACTAATACAAATTTTCACAATATACTGTCGCTGTGTATAACTTACAGATCTTCTTCTTTGGTTTGATGGACTGTATGGCTGTGAGAGGTGCACTTTGACCTTCAGCATTGACAGCAGTAACCCTGAAGAGGTACTCGTTACCAGGCATAAGTCCGGTTGCTGTGAAGTCAGTGACTGGTGGTTTAGTTGTTCCAACTTTACTCCATGTACTACGACGTACGTCACGCATCTCAACAATGTACTCGGTGATTGGTGAGCCTCCGTCATCTCTTGGTGGTTTCCAGGACAACTCACATGAGTTATCAGTGACATTAGAAATATTAAGAGGTCCAAGCGGAGATTCTGGCTTGTCTGAAAATAAATTTTATTGTTAAATTATCCCTGTTAAATTAAAATATCTGATGAAATAAAGAGCACATTTTTTTAATTTTCAGGCACCTATCTAGTCTAAATCCATGTATACATCACTTATGAGACTTGGTCCATGGAAAATTTCATTTTTTTAAGATAAGTAAAGAAAATTTGTATCAAATATCCCTTAAAAATATACCCTTTAATTGCACCATTCTTTTTCTCCTACAAAATTAGAAATAAATATTTAACACTTTATTCATCCTCTTTATCTCTTACATTTATCTGATAAGATTCAGTTGAGAAGAATCAGGCCATTAAACTTGACCACGACTTGACAGACTGACCGACACTTCTTGACCAGTATACTTACTGTATGGACTCTTAGCCATGTAGGTCTGGTCAGATTCCAAAGCTGGACCCTTGCCAACTTTGTTGACAGCAGTGATACGGAATCCATACTCAGTACCCTCAACAAGTTTGTCTGCAACACAGGACAGCTCGTCTGCGGGGACTTGAGCAACCTGTGTCCAGGTAGCACGGCGAGCGTCACGTTTTTCGACAATGTAGCCAGTGATTGGTGATCCACCGTCATTAGAAGGAACATTCCAAGAGATACCCAAAGATGTCCTGTCGGGATTGGTCACTTGCATAGCCCGAGGTTTACCTGGCACGTCTACAGGTAAAATATCAAAATTGATCAGCATTAATAGGAATGAATATTATTCAAATGAATGCTTAATCACATATCTATTTCAGCATCTCATGAATATTTATATCCCAGTGACCCATATTTCAGAAACTCAAGAATAATTCAACAGATTTCAAGGTTTAATTAAAAGCAATACTACCTGGATATATATATATATTTGCAGGAATCCCTGGTACAGAAAAATAATTGTCCCTCAAACCATTAATTTATAATGTATTAATTTTAATATATTCATTTTATTTGTTTACGTTTTAATCACATCTAAGTAAAAACAGAGTCAATTTCAACAACTCCCACTGACATTAAAACAGGTCGAGTGTCAAGTTTTTACTTACTCGCTGGTTTTTCAATAGTTGTGGCATCAGATTCCAAAGGAGCACCTGGCCCCACACTGTTGACAGCGAAGACACGGAAGAAATATTTCTTGCCGGTCAAGAGACCCTGAGGTCGTAGATTTGTCGTGTACTTGTCGGTCTTGCCAAGCTTGGTCCATTCCTCTCCGTCGGTGCTTGCCTCAACGATGTACTCAAGGACAGGGGAGCCGCCATCTTTGTCAGCTGGGCGCCATGTGAGGTATGCAGAAGACTCGTCCACATCACGGACATCCAGAGGTCCTCTGGGGGCACTGGGTACATCTGCAGGGCGTTTTGGTTTGACAGACTCCTGACTTTCCAAGGCAGGCCCAACGCCTTCTTCATTCTCGGCAAAAACACGGAATAGATATTCCTTGTTTTCGATCAGGTTCTGGACACAGTAAGTCAGAATGCTTGGTTCAGTGCGTCCAACCTTTGTCCAGGTCATACGTTTACTCTCACGCTGTTCCACGATATATCCAGACAAAGGTCGTCCACCATCAGACAGTGGGGGACGCCAGGCAATGGTGACTGATGTTGCAGTGATGTCCGAGTATTTCATCGGTCCTTCAGGTGCACCAGGAACAGCTGTAGAAAAAAAATCACGACTATTACAGCACTGTTTATGAATAGAATATCTTTAGACAAGATTCAGTAGCAGAAACTAACACAAGACCATATTACTGAAAGGATATCTAGAACAAATTCTTGTCTAATTAGAGAGGTTGTCACATGTGAATAAAAGGGTATATTTGATATATGCATTAGGGAAAGAAGTACAGACTTCTGGACAAAAGACAGACAACCTATGGCCTCTCAGCTGGTACAAAATCTTGAATTCATTACACTGCCATTGTACAGGACTTGGACTGATCATTTTGACTCACTGAATTGACTCTTTGGTGTGACTCTATCAGACTCAAGTGCGTCAGATTTGCCGACGGCATTTTCGGCTATCACTCGGAAGATATACTCCTTCTGTTCGCGTAGATTCTGAGCACAGTATGTAAAGATGTCAGCATCAACCCTGCCAACTTCCGCCCAACGGAACATGCTAGCCTCCTTCATCTCTACAATGTAGTTGGTGATAGGAGACCCTCCATCACTTTTGCTAGGCAACCAGGAAAGAGTAAGCTCTTTCTTCTGGATGTTACTGAAGTTGATTGGTCCAACAGGGGGTGATGGTCTCTCTGTAAGTTCACACAATCAAAATTTGTCAGAAACCAATTAAACTACTAAACATACACATATTAAAACATATCTAATAGGGGAGTTTTGCTGATTTGTGATAGGAAGAAAGCTTTCAATCACTTCTTTGTCATTTAATTTGTATATTAGCAGAAGGGAAAAAAGTCTGTGACATTCCCTTCTGTGGTAGAATATTTTTCAGATGTACATGAAAAATGAACCTACAGAATTCTTTTCCAATACCTTTTTACTGTAACATCTGATAGCTCCTTTTCATTTTCAAAAATGGCAAGGGATAATCTTTTCAAAGAGTTTTTATATATTGCAACACTGTAAGCAAAAAATCTCTGAGAAACAGTCTTGAGGTAAATAAAATTGATTTCCAAACACTAACCAGGCTTGGCCCTTGGGACGATTGCTTTGTCTGTTTCCGCTGGCTCACCGACACCGATCTTGTTCTCGGCAGCGACAGCGAAGTAGTATTTACTGCCTATGTTGAGTTTCTTGGCTGTGAATTCGGTAGTATAAGTGGTTGTGGTGCCAATCTCTACCCAGCTGTCGACACTGTCCTCACTCATACTGATACGATAACCAGTGACCTTTGACCCACCATCATCAGTAGGTGGTTTCCAGCTCAAAGACACACAGTCGGTTTGAAGGTCAAATGTTTTTAGGTCAATAGGTGCTTTAGGTTTGCCTAAAGTTGAAAGAATTTTTGAACAATAATTAGCTAAAGGATTGAGTTTGTTGGTAATTTATAATATTTTAGTTTTCAAGCAAAGTTGATTTTAAAATGTCATATTAACAATGTACATTTCAATTCAAATCAAATTAATTGTTCTTTATCAAAGTAATTATTATTTTAAAAACAACTGATATTAACATTGATAATTTCTGCATTGTTGTGATGTACAACAATTCTTGATGGAAAATGAAAGTAAAAAACAATTGATAATAGCCTGATCAATGTTCAGTACTTACTGAGGGGCCTCATTGGCGTGGCACTGTCAGTAGACTCAAGGGCTGGACCCTGGCCTTCCATGTTAACAGCGGACACTCTGAAGAAATAACTGTTGCCCTCGACAACATCCTCTGTAGTGAATGTCAACTTTTGACCGCTGACCTTTCCAGCTGGACTCCATCCTGACCTCCTGTTTTCCTTAACCTCTAGGACGTACCCGGTGATTGGGGTTCCGCCATCTTCTGTTGGTGGTTTCCATGACATTGTCACAGAATCCTTCGTGATGTCGGAAAATAGGATTGGTCCAACAGGACGTCCTGGTAGATCTGATTAAAAGTAAAAATCATATTGTAATTTACAGAAATGTATTACAATCCATCCAGACAATATTAACAAAAAGACTCCAAAGTTTTGAAAATCTAAATGTTCAAATCACAGTAAACTGTTGTTGGATCAAATTAATGACACAAGAGACAATAATTATGGATTTTTCTCACACAATAAGATGTATGCATTAACCTTATGAGATATACCGCGAACCACTTTCCACTTGCTGTGAAAAGTTTGAAGCTTAGAATTAGAAATACTGTGACAAATATTATAATTTTGACTGAATTTTGTAATATTGCTACAAAAACAAATATGAAAAACTCCAATTTGACTCAAGATGACAGGTGTCCATGTTACCCCCAACAACAGAGAAAGAGACTCACCATATTGACTCTTTGGAGTAACAGTGTCTGATTGAGTAGGCTCTGATTTTCCGACAGCATTTTCAGCAATAACTCTGAAAATAACGTCTTTCTTCTCTTTCAAATTCTGGGCACAGTAACTGGTTACAGTTGGTCGAACTTTGTCTACTTCAGTCCAGCGGAACTGAGTGACTTCTTTCATCTCTACAATGTAGCCCGTCAAGGGGGAGCCACCGTCACTCTTACTGTGTTGCCATGACAATGTAACAGTGGTTTTATCAATGTCAGAGAATTTGATAGGACCGACTGGTGGTGATGGCCTCTCTGAATTTGAAATCAAACAGAAATTAAATTATTCATTGCAACAATAAAATGAGTTTAGGAGCTGTGAATTGATGGACATTGCTAGGACCATATATGTTAAGGAAATATTGCTAACAAATTATGCCCAGACCTACTTCTAAAATATTATAGTTATTTAGAGTGCACAGAAAAAGTTTTCATTATAGAATTACCGAGATATCAGTGCTCCTGTAATTACTACCAAAGCAAGTGCTCTTTGATGTATTGAAATGGCGGACATTAAACCTAAACTTCTAACTCACCGGCCTTCTTTCGAAGAACAGTTGGTGAATCTGTCTCAGCTGCTTCTCCGACGCCAACCTTATTTTCTGCAGCTACGGCAAACATGTATTCGACATCAGTAGTGAGGTTGCGAATCACTGTGTCAGTCTCATATGGTCCTACGTTGTCCACTTCTCTCCACTGACCGCCGTTCTCACGGACTTTGATGCGATATCCAGTCAACCTGGATCCGCCATCAAACTTGGGCTGTTTCCATGTGATGGTGGCCTTTTCTTCGTTAACAGTCAGTGTTTTGACATTAATAGGTGGTCCTGGCTTCTCTAATGGTTTCTGGGGTTTGACCCTGTCAAGTGAATCCAATGCAGGACCTTGACCTTCTGCGTTGACTGCCGACACACGGAACAGGTATTCCTGATCTAGTGACAATCCTCCGGCCTTGTACGTAAGTTTATCAGCATCCACCGTTGCAATTTTGGACCATGTGGTTCTTCTGCTGTCACGAGACTCGATAATATAGCTGGTGATTGCAGTTCCTCCATCAGTCAGTGGTGTTTTCCACGAGATGGTTACGGAATCCTGAGTAAGATTGGAGTAATCCAAGGGTCCAACAGGTTTTCCTGGCTTGTCTGAATCCAAGACAGTTGAATAACATCAATCTGATTATGTAATTGTAAACCTGACAACCTTTGCTCATTCACAAACTAAATATTTGTACATTTTATCAAGTAAACTAATTTGTAAAACTGGAAACCCAAGAAAGATATTTTTTACTTCTTGGAAGTTATATATGAAACATCATAGTTCCCTAACATAGATATTTTCTACAGAAAACAAACTAAATAGTTCTAGAAATGTTCACAACATATCGTAAATATAATAAGTGTTAGTGTTGATACCTAACATAGAAGTTCTGCAGGTTAAGTGTTATTATTAAATCATTTGTCATATTGTTACATACCAAATGGACTCTTCGGCTCCACTACGTCAGATGTCAAGGCATCCGATTTACCAACACTGTTTTCAGCAAAGATACGGAACATATATTCATGTTGTTCCGTTAGGTTCTGAGCACAGTATGTAAGGATGTCTGCTGTCACTGTGGTAACAGGTGACCAGCGGCTTGTCTTGGTGTCACGCATCTCAATATGATATGCAGTCAAGGGGGAGCCACCGTCATGTCTGCTTGGTTGCCATGACAACGTCACAGTTGTCTTGTTTATGTTGGAGAATTTGATTGGCCCAACTGGTGGTGATGGTCGCTCTGAAATTTGTATAAGGACTTTTGTCTTAGACATGAAACAAGATCATGTTTGAGGACATTTTTTCTTACTTGAAGAAACAATCTGTGGTGAAATAATACCAGGAATGATACAACCGTTACATTTATTAAACAAATATTATTTCTTGATGGGCAAGAATACATTATCAAAGGCAAGAATACGATTCTCAGTGACAAATGTTATATGAACAATCTTGTTCAGTCACTCTAAAAATTTTTTCTGAAAAGAAATACTCAGATAAAACATCTACAAAGAAGAAAACATTTCATGTTTGTCAAAACTTTTTTGGGAAAACCTGGTCCCAACAAGAAGTAGTGCTATATTTCTTGTTTTTTTCACATCAAATGAAAAAAAAAACTTCATATCAATAAAAAAAACCATTGATAACCATATGCAAGAGCCTGATTAGCTTACAACTTTGGCTGATCTGACACAAAACAGTAAAAAAAGAATTTAAATTTAAAAAGTGCTATTAAATCAAATATCTACGGAGAAAATTAATAAATTTTTTCAAAAATTCAAACGAAAATATTTTTAATGAGTATGATGAAAAAAATTTTTAAAATGAAAGAAAAAACAAAATATTATGAACTTGATAATACAATATTAATGCAAACATGATTTTCAAAACTGGTGTTTTACAAAGAAATAAAATGCACATCACTGTTAGGTATGTACAGAACATATTCAATGAAGGATTAGTATATTCATAGCCTACACTTCATTTTACAGTTTTCAAATAATATCTTAATATTTCTATTAAAATATCTAATGAATAGATACCTTAGGAACACATTCAATTTCTAAATTTAGATTTCATAAAATGTTTCAAATGAAGACATATTCAAACTTTGTTCAATAGCTCCATATTTTTAACAGGATTAATCAATTCAAATTGTATTACTCGACTAAGATATGTTGAATTGTTGTCCAAATGATAATTACCAAATTACAGACATTTAGTATGAAGAAAAAAATCACTTATATATATATCAGGTTTCTCGATCTGCCAGATTTGGGGCCGATATTCGGCCCCATTCCCAATGCAAAATAGTATCTTTTTTCCCAATTTAGACCCCCAATTTTCCAAATTCTAAGGAAAACGCTGCTATTTTTCCCCAATTCTAAGGGCCCCAGGCCCCAGTCCCCAAATGGGGTGTGAGAGCCCTTTATTATGATAACTGGTTATATATTTGTGAGTTATATCATGGTTGTAATTCATTATCATATCTGCAGCAAAACAGCAATTTAACCCAGTGAAAGTTTTTCTGTAGACAAGTGCTTAACGTTTTTTTCCCACTTTTATTTATATTGTATGCATCAGAAAATTTGGCTTAATAAGTACAAAAAGGTCACAACATGATTTTATTAGCTGATGTGTTTGTTTTGTCAGTAATAATTCAATACACATGAACAAACATTACTTCTATGCATTAGACATATACGTAAGCTTGAGACACACTTAAACATATACACAAGCATTAAACATATAATTGTTTTTAATGTGTAAGCATCAGACACATATATGATCATTACATCAATGCATAAGACAAAATAAAACACATACATAAGCATGAAACTCTACCACTAAAATTATAAACATATATATGATAAGTGACACCTGAGTGAGTAGATATAGTGAAAAGATGGAAAGCTGGTTTACTCTCTATTCCAAACAATTTTTTTTCTCTCAATATTATATATATATAATTTTCACAGTCTATAAAGACACTCTAGCCATTTCTTCATGAAGTGCTAGACTGATAGTGGGAAGATATTTTTTTAAACAAAATATTAACTTTCTTTCTGAAACACTCAAATTTCAAACCAACACTAATATCATCAGATGCTTTTGTAAATTCCAATTTCGGCAATGTCAGGTTTCACCGCTTAAATGATAAACACAAATATGACCTAGAATTAACAGGCTGGAACCTCATTATAACAGTCTTTCACGTTAATGAGGTTTCATTAAAAAAAAAATGCTTGAATGAGACGCATTATCGACAGATATCAAACACAAGAGCATGATTATACACAATGTACAAGATTTACATAGCATACAGCACATAGACATCTTACCAAGCTTTTCTACCGCTGAAACAAACATTATGGTAACGTCACATGTTGAAGCAGGTGACACTGCAGCTTATCCTATCATCCATTGTTGAATTTCCAACACAGAAATTTAAAGTATCCGAATTCTTACTTAAAGCCATATCTTTCACTTATCAGAATTGTCAAAATATCAGATATCGCAAACTTTATTTAAAATCAATTTATAAAAACAAATACAAAATTCAATTTTTTTCACTTTTTCAGTCTGTGATTTTGATTCCCCCCCTGAATCAAAAGCAAGAACAACATTAATAAACTGGGTTTACAATGATCAGCGAAGCATAAAGCACAGAAAAATTTAGAATGCTTGAGAAACAGAAATACTCCATGTCTACTGTACCTGGTTTTTTCTGTGGACAGACAGCTTTATCTAACTCCGCAGCCTCGCCGATGCCGGCCTTGTTTTCTGCAGCAACGGAGAAGTAGTATCGCTGACCAGTCGTTAGATTTCTTACAGTGTAATCGCGGTCATATGGATTGAGAGTTGCAATGTTTTTCCATTTGCCAGTCTCATCTTCATTAAGTCCAATCTTGTAGTTAGTGATCTTTGAACCACCGTTGTCCTTGGGTTCTTCCCAGGTCAAGGTCACCTTATCCTCAGTGAGATCACATGTGTTGAGATTCAGAGGGACTGATGGTGGTTCTGCAGATAAAAAGTAAAGTATATGGGTTGATGTTTCAGGAATACAACTCTGGTTATAACATCTGAATAAAAACAGTTAGTGCTCTGTAACAGCAAGAGAAACAGTGGGCTACTAAGGGTTAGGATTAATACTTGTTAAATACAGTATCATTATTTTATGTAACTTTTTTGGGGAAGGGGTTGGGGGAGAAAAATTACAGCAGATTTCCATCTTTTTCATACTCACGTATAGGCTTCCTTGCCATAACCTTGTCAGGACAGTCCAGTGCTGGACCTTGACCTTCTTCATTAACAGCAGAGACCCTGAAAAAGTACTCGTTGTCCTCCATTAGGCCAGTAGCAGTGAAAATTGTATTCTCCGCACTGACGGTGCCAGCGTTATTCCATGTGGAGCGACGCGCATCACGCATCTCAATAACATAGCTGGTGATTGGTCGGCCTCCATCAGACAAGGGTGGCTTCCATTCCATAGTGATAGAATCATCTAGGATGTTAGAGAACTCCATTGGTCCAACAGGCTTACCAGGTTTGTCTGCAAAAGATGAAGCTTTATGAAGATTTGTGTACAAATAAGAAACAGATTTATATAAATATGAAAAATGACTACTAAAACTCTGAAATAATGAAAACTTGCTGTAAAAAACAAGAGGCCCATGGGCTTTAACTGTCATCTGACATAAAATACAAGATTTCAAATTCTGAACTTGAGAAGAAGTCGAAAATGTGTTTTCAAGATGGTGGCCATGTTGGATTTCGGACCAACCCGAAATTAACAAACTATGGTCAGGATCATTTCAGGTAAGTTTCAGCTCAATGAGACATGTAGAACTTGAGAAGAAGCTGAAAATGTTTATGCCGGACGACGCCAGACAAAAGGCGATCGCAATAGGTCATCAGACCCTTCGGTAAAAAACTGATAAACCTTGATATGTTCATTACCTGATGGAATCTCATGTTTAACCATCATTCAATGTTTCCTTTTTGAAAACAATTATTCATTAATGCTAGATAGGTAATGCTTGAAGCTCAACTCACCATATAGAGACTTTGGTATTGTTGTTGTATCAGCCTCAAGCTCATCTCCAGTACCAAACTTGTTTTCAGCAGTCACTCTAAACAGATACTCTGTCCCTTCTTTCAGATCATTGACTTTAAGGTCAAGGACATCAGGAGAGACTGTGTCAACCATAACCCAGGCTTTGAGGCCTTCACGTTTTTCAACAATGTAACCGGTGAGTGGGGATCCTCCGTCACTCTTTGGAGGTTTCCAGTGAAGGACAGCCGTTGTCTTTTCAACATCGGTCACTGTTAATGGACCCATTGGTTTTCCAGGAGGTCCTACAAATACACAGTCCAGTTTAACAACCTTTTCCAGGATGTCTTACAAGAAGTAGAATCAAATTTAACCAAGGACACCATGCTTTCTAGTCTAGTGCAATTTTATGATGAAAAAAAAAATGTTTTCTATAAAAATTTAAATCATCTATAATACATATATTTTACATTATTTTGCAGCATTATTACTAAGTAATGTTATTCTTATATTTCAGGTGTCAAACACAAGCCAGGATTAACACTGATCCACAAAATGTGGCTCACCTGGAGGACGTTTGGGTGTGACTGGTTTGTCTGTCTCACAGGTCTCCCCAACACCAGCCTCATTTTCTGCGGCAATGGAGAAGTAGTAGTCGGTGCCTTCTGACAGGCGAGGGACCTTTGTGTCATCTTCAATACTGGACAAAGACTCAACCTTGCTCCATTTTCCATGAGGTCCTTCCCTCATCTTGAGGATGTAGCCAGTGATAGGCCCACCTCCATTGTCAAGGGGAGGCTGCCATTTAAGTATGGCATAGTTTTCTCCAACCTTTGTGTCTCTAAGGTCCCTGGGAGGTCCTGGTGGGTCTGGAAAAAGCCAAATAAAGAGATATATTGTGGCATTGTCAAAAACAATAAAATTATTTGTTTTTTTTCTTCTTGTCAATCAATAGTAATCCATGATAATTTCCTTCATAAAATCTCCAAAACCCTTTCAAAAAAATATTTAGATCTGGATACCAAATACCTTTGAAATCTAATCATAATTTCAGTTGCTTTCCATTATATTTAAGACTTATCCCCATATGTCTATATGAAGAACTCACTGATCTTGCGTTTGGGCAAAGCAGTGTCGATTGCCTGTAACCAGGGACTTTGACCTTCCTTGTTGACGGCAGAGACCCTGAACTCGTATTCAGTGCCAGCGGTAAGTTGTGGCACAGTAAACTTGGTGGTTGATCCATCAACTTCTCCAGCCCTGGACCAAGACATACGACTTGTTGGGCGAGATTCAATGATGTATGAAGTGATTGGTGTGTCACCATCACTTGTCGGGGGCTTCCATTCAAGGTCAGCAGAGCAGTCAGTGACGTTAGACACAGTCAGTGGACCAATAGGAATACTGGGTTTGTCTGTGGGACAGAAAGAAAATCTTAATCAGGAATCATACCTACATATGATATGTTTGTAGCATACAGAATGAAAGGGTACGAAGATTTCTATTTAGAGAAATTGTCCAATTCTAATCAAACAGTAACTCCCCCTTACCAAACGGATTCTTTGGTATAACAGGTTTGGTAGGACCCTGGGGTTCACCAAGTCCTGCCTTGTTCTCAGCACGAACCCGCAGGAAGTAGCTTGTTCCTTCGTTTAATTTTGTCACCAGGAGTTTGAGTGTATTTTTGTCCACACGATCAACAGTTGTCCACATGGAACGGGATGCGTCACGTTTTTCGATCACATATCCTGTGATTGGAGTGCCTCCATCGTCCTCAGGTGGCTGCCAGCTGAGAGCTACAGAGTCAGTGAGGATTTCTCCTACCTCAACATCCACTGGCTTAGAAGGTAGACCTGACACAGGAAACACACAGGAATAGATAATGTAAACTGAAGACTTCAAATACCAGGAAAATTATGTCCCAGTTTCACTGTTTTAACATATGTTATATAATGTTACCCGGGAAATTTTGTCCCAATTTCACTGTTTTAACATGTGTTATATAATGTTACCAGGAAAATTATGTCCCAATTTCACTATTTTAACATATGTTATATAATGTTACCAGGAAAATTATGTCCCAGTTTCACTGTTTTAACATATGTTATATAATGTTACCAGGAAAATTATGTCCCAATTTCACTATTTTAACATATGTTATATAATGTTATAACATTCAACTTGCATAAACAGAATGCAGAAAAAAGAAAAAAAAAAGAAAAGAAATACTGTTTCGCTATCTGACAATGTCGCAAATAAGATATCATAAATATATACGTTAACTGGAGTTATCTCCCTTACCAATTGGCTTCTTTGGAGTGACTGTGTCTGATTCCACCCATTCTCCTTCTCCAACAGCGTTGACTGCAGAGACACGGAACTGAACGGGTTCATCTTCCTTGAGATTGTTTACGACGTAACGCTCCACAGATTCTGGAACTGTTTCTAATGGAGACCAGGTCTTGCCCTTGTCTTTAGATATGGTAATGTTATAGCTGGTGATTGGAGAGCCTCCGTCACGCTTGGGTTCACTCCAGTACAACGTCACACTGTCACCTTGTATGTTATTAACACGGAAACCAATAGGCTTTCCAGGTGGAGCTGAAATAGCAAAAATCATGTATAACATTTGTTTATATTTCAATAATTATTCTGCATAATATCTTAAGATACATCAGAGTGATATATTTGAAGGACATTTACAGGAATTATATTTGGTGATAATCAAGTTAGATGTTTTCCGTTAATTTTATTATATGTTAATATCTTGATGTTTCTAAATATTTCATCGCTTTAGTGTTTCCATGAAAATTTCCAACATTTTTCTAAATGTTTTCTACTTTTCTTTATTAATCCTGTAAAAAAATTACATGCATTAAAGTAAATATTCTTAAGATTTTTAAACTTACTGGCTGGTTTTGTTGGTTTGATCTCATGGTCAGTGACCAGAGGTTGACTACGACCGACACTGTTGACCGCTGACACACGGAACAGGTAAGCCTGTCCCTCTAGTAAGTTAGGAACTGGACATGATGTACTGTCTGGAGCAACAGTCTTCACAGTGGTCCATGTCATACGACGGGTGTCATATTTCTCCACTACGTAACCAGTGAGAGGAGTACCTCCATCAGATACGGGTGGTTTCCAAGTTAATGTACAACTGCTGTCAGTGACGTCGGAGATTTCCAGAGGTCCCACTGGGATTGACGGTTTGTCTGCAAGGGAATAAATTTCTTAAACTGAATTAAAATTTCAATGCAATTTGTTTGTTACTGGACAACTACTCTATTTAAAAAAGTGTTTTTAAAAAAGAAAATAAATAGAAAACAAATTTTCTCAGAAATTATTACATTATTTATTTTTGTTCAGTTATGAATTGAATAGATTTATTCTTGAAATATTTTTTTCAAATTTTTCAAATTATATTTCAATTTAAATATGTTTAAATTCTTACCGTCAATCCTTTATCTTCATCAACAAAAAGCTTCGCAGTCATGCAGTTGCTTGTTCAATGCAAACACTCAGACAATCTGGACTTTCTAAAATCTTTCCATGCTTTGTTATGTCACATAGATAACAATCATGCAAAAACTTCATGTATTCATTTTCAAAGAAACATCTATTAACCTAGTCTGTTTTGCTACTCTGAATTGTTTTCTGTTTTGTATTTGATTTTATGATCACACTTTATCAATAGTTTGTATATAAGTAAGGTTTTACTGTATAAACAATCCATTATATATTGCTGATATTCTGATAGGTAAGAAATATTATTGCTGTCTTGTAGTAGCACAATCTTAAGCAGTATCAAATAACCCTCCAATCGGTCAACCATGTTAAGATTTAGCAAATGCTTCTCACTGGTCATTTGTCTAAGGTGACTGTGTAGTCATTGAAACATCACACTCCAATCTGCTACTACTTGTTTTATAAAAACTTTCATTCTAAATATCATTTCATCAATGTCTAAACAGAATTGAAGGTAAATTATGCCAGGCAATTGATAAACAAACAAATTTCAATTCGAAGAAAAATATTAAAATTTTATTGCCTCTCAGATGGTCAGAAGTCTGTTTCATATAAAATAAAATATTAATCAAAACATACATACATAAACATACATTAAAAATACATTAAAATATTCTTCAGGGATAATAATACAAATAATTTTGTTCTGATATGCAAATTAGGTAATGAATATTCATGTTCTAGCATATAACTAATCATGCAAAATACTGGTTAATAAATATATATATATATATATATGTATGTAGACTTATGTAAACTATATCTGACTACCTGTTTATATAATCAGCCGTATCCCCACAATAAAATATAAACATTATAACGGTATTGCTAAAACTTAAAAAAAAATATTTATAAATGTGTTTAAATATCACAATCTACAATATCTTGATGGAATGTCATCTCATCATTAACATTAGGCGGTGGGTGGCGGTTATAACATTAATCTCATCACATACAAAGTTTTAGTGGTAAACCTAGACATATCACACAGGTTAATCACAGTCATTAGTAGAACTCACACGGACATGACTAACTGTTCATAGGCAAAAATTAAGGTAAACAATAGAAATTTTGTGACAATTGTTTTTCATTATCTAGAAGCATTCAGTAGAGTATTACATTGTTGTCGGTGAAATATCGAGAAATATCGAGAAATATCAAGAAGTATCGATAAATATCTCATTGATAAAAGTGAAAAGTATCACTCTTGCAGACTGTACAAAAAACACATAACCAGACATCTGAAGGCGTAGTTTACTTGTGACATGACCTTCAATTCCATGGTAAACGTTTATTTCCATGAAAGTCGGCAAACTATGCAACACAAATAACCTTATCAGAGATCAAATCAAATCCCAAACCAAACTATCTTTAATGTGGAGCTAACACGTTAGACATTTCAAGGGGATTCGTGTCATCCCAGCGACAACTGTAGGTTGCTGCCATAGTTTAAGCCGCATAGCGAATGGTCACAGGCTAAACTCTCTTTGAACATTTTACAGCAAATTTTGTCTCTTAGTGACAGGAATAAGTAATATTTTATATATAAATATACAAATATATTTACATTGAACTTTATTTTTGTATTATATATTTTTAATGATTTAAAAGTAAAAACAGACTATATTTTGTCACGTACTCTGAAGATATAAAAAGTGAGTTTTCCGCAAAAAGCTTTGTCGACTTCCTCGCTTATGTATGTTCTAAACATGCCAGTAGTTTCGCTATTTTACTTTCGAAAAAATAATCAATAGAATATCCAATAGTGTCTCCAATAACAACAAATATATTTCACCTGTATGTGTATTCGTGTACACTAGACAAATTTGTGAAATATATTTATTACTGAAGACACTATTACATATCCTCTTTGTACTGTCTTGGGTAAACATTTTTGAGATTCCTTTTAACATACAGCTCTTTCTCTCAAAATGTAAATTTCAGTGGAAATATCATCCATTCGTAGGAACGTTTGAAAATATATCATAAATTGTTAAAAAGGACTCAAATATACATGGAACCTCTTCGGAATTGTTGATATTTAAATTTACATCACTCTTATCAGGTAAGTTAAAACAATTTGGGAGATACTGATAAAAATTTGTATAATTTCAATAACATTGTCACAGAGTGATTGCTGGTTGTATAGTTCTATAGGAGTGGTGGTGTATACAGTTAGGATTGGGGTACCATGTTCAAAGTAAGGATAGTCAGCATAATCAATAATTTATACAACTTCTTTTTCCTTGTTTCATTGTGTGTTCTTTTCATTATTTTTCAATACAATAAAGTCATTTGATAAAAATATCAGTTTTAAATATGCAACTAACCATACTTTGAACATTTGAGTACTAATTCATGATAAACCAAGCAGTTCACAGCAGGCAAAACTATTTGTCAAACATTGTTAATATAACACTCGTAAACAGATCAGTCAGGACGATGATCGTAATCACGCCTCAGTGACCATGAGTCATGCATCAATGTCCACCTACCGAACGGACTCTTTGGAATGACAGGTTCATCCATCTCGAGAGGACTGGACATGCCAACCTCATTTTCGGCAAAGAATCGGAACATGTACTCCTTTCCAACTTGAAGATCAGTTGGGGTGATAGTGAGAACAGAAGAATTTGGAATTTCCTGACGTGACCACGTAGATCGTCCAGCTTCTCGGCGTTCCACTGTATAGGATTTGATTGCTGATCCGCCATCATCCTTTGACTTCTGCCAGGTCAGCGTTGCTCTGTCTACGTCAATGTCGGTAACCTGCACTGGGCCCTCTGGTGGGCTTGGCACGTCTGCACAGGGAAATAACCAAGTACACCATATAATCCAATCAAACATAGTCTTAATTTTTGCTCAATTATCATCTTTTTTTCAAAAAATTTTCAAAATCAAATTCGTAAAAGCAAGAATAGAAAGCAATGAAATTAACTTGATTGATAACACACAATAATTCTTATGAATTACTCACCAATAATTTCAACGTCAAAGCTAGCCTTCTCTTCACCAGCCTCATTCTCAGCCTTAATGTAGTAAAGTCCGTCGTCCTCACGAGTCAGTTTCTTGATTAACAATGTTGAGCCTTTTTCGGTCTTTTCAAAGCTAACCCTCGTTGATGTCTTGAGGGCAGTGTCATCCTTACCCCAGGTGACTGTGGGTTTGGGAAGACCTTTGATTGTTACAGGGATCTTCAGGGATGAGCCCGCTTGTAAGGTCAAAAGGTCACGGTATTTGTTGTCATACTCAATGGTTGGTGGAGCTGAAACAAAAAACACAACATTTTGAAAATCATTTGGGTCCAAATGTTTTATCATTAAACTCTCAAACAAAACAGAAAAATCAGAAAATGCAGAAATTCAACAGAAAATATTTGTCTGGTTTATCAACAAAGAAAAAATCTCTCTCTGAGATGTACTTTTAACTACTGGTCCAGTTACCACCTTGACCATTTGCCTACATTAGACATACCCTGAATCTCCACTTGACCAGTGGTTGACACAGATCCTAAGTCATTGGATGCCTCACAGCTGTAACTGCCCATGTCTTTTTCTGTCACCTGACGAATGGTCAGTGAGGCAGCCAAATCTACATATGACATCTCGAACTTTTTGCTCTCTGACAGCACATGTTCATCCTTAGACCTGTAAATTTAAAAGCCAAGTGTCATCATTTGGTGACAAATTTTCTTTAAAAAGATAAAAAACAAAATTGATCTCTGTGTTGTTAATCATTTGTTTCAACCTTATTTCCTGATCCAAATATCATTTCAGGTCTCAAATATTCACGATCACAATTATTAATTTAAATTTCTTTAATAACCATTTGACCTTGATTGTATTATCATTTTTCAGAATGAGAAATCACAATCATTCTTTTTATATTGGAACAACTTACCATTTCAGTGTAGGCTCTGGTTTGCCTGAGATTTTACACTCAAGGGTGGCCGTCTCTCCTACCAGATGAGTAAGGTCAGGAAGTCCTTCTAGTACAGATGGAGCCTCTCCGACTGGAATAAGAAAATAAAGAGATAACAACAGGTCATATTTTGAACATAGCAAATAGTCGAAAGAAATTTAGAATTTAAATACACTTGGTAAATAAAGAGCCTACAAGACAGACATACTTACCAATTGGTTCCTTGATAAGGACTCTGTCTGATGGAGGAGAGGCGGGGCCAACACCCGCTCTGTTCTCCGCGTAGACACGGAACTCATACTCCATACCCTCAAGAAGATCTGTCACCACAAATTTGGTATCATCTATGCGAATGTTCTGGCTGGCCAATATCCACTTGATAGAAGTCTCCGGCCGACATTCAACAATGTAGTTAAAGATGGCGTCGCCACCGTCTTTGACAGGAGGGGTCCATTTCAGTGATGCTGTATTCTTTGTGACTTCGAGGACCTCAGGTTTACCAGGAGCCTCTGGTTTGTCTGTAGAAGAAAAGGCAGGCTTTAAATATATTGGACATCTTAAAAAAGTTTCAATGAAGTATTATTCCTACGACATTTGTAATATCTTACATACTAGGGGTAAAAACAGGGAGAGAGGCATATATTGTTCTACAATATATTATGGCATCTAAAATGTCCAGACAGAACTCATTTTCAAAATTTTTTCAAAAGAGTTTTAGAAAATATCTAACTATTCATTTAATTTGTTACTAACCATATGGAAGCTTGGCTCTGATTGGTCCAATTGGCTGACAGGGTTTACTGAGGCCAACAATGTTCTCAGCGGATACACGGAATTCATAGTCGCTGTCCTCAATGAGGTCGGTGACCGTAAACACAGTGTCTGGTTCGGCCTTTTTATTGCATTTCGACCAGCGTGTTGTCTCCATGTGACGTTTCTCCACTATATACCCAGTAACTGGGGAGCCGCCATCTTTCAATGGAGCATCCCATGTTAATGACACAGTTTCTGGCGTTGTGTCGGTAGCTTTCAAATTTATAGGTGAGTCTGGAGCATCTGTCCAAATCAAATTTTTCAGTAAAATGTTAGTTAACACATCAACAAAAAAATTATCAAAATGTAAATTCTGGTGTATAGAATATGCAAAAAGGAAACAAAAACTTATTTGAAATTCAGATTTAATACACAATACAACAAAATATATATATGAAAATAAGGTAAAAATTTTTTTAATGCAAAAAACATTCAGTATCTTGCGAATCTTGTGGTATGAAATGACAGCCAATTACCGAATGGACTCTTGGCAATAGTTCCTTCATCCATAGTGGCTGGTTCACTAGTTCCAACCTCATTCTGAGCTGACACTTGAAAGAAGTACTCATTGCCTTCGAGGAGTTTCTCCACAGCAAATGTTGTAGTATGGCCACTGACGTTCTCACAAGTTGCCCAGGTGTTCCGTTTGGCATCACGCTTCTCAACAATGTAGGCAGTGATTTCAGCACCTCCGTCACTGGTTGGTTTTTCCCACTCAATAACGACAGTGTCTTTCATCACCTCAACAACATGAAGGTTGTTAGGTTTTGATGGCTTGTCTGAAATTGAAATCAATCTAGGTTAGCAAAATATATGTAGTAAGGATATCACAAAATCATTTTTTTTTAAATCCTATTTTTTTCAGTCGTCTTTTCAGAAGATTTCAGATAATAAGGAAATGAAGTCATATTACACATACATGTAACCAGTCCATTCAGGAATTAGCTTACCGTTGGTGATAAACTGAACAATAACAAATGTAGTGTAGAATTAATAAGATTAAGTGATGAATTCTCCGAGGCGTAATTCTGTACCTCTGACATTGATATCGAAGCTGGCCTCAGCCTTTCCGACAGTGTTTTCTGCAACAATGTTGTAGACACCAGTATCATTCTGAGTGGCGTTTTTGATTTTGAGAGTGGAGATTTCTTCTGTGATGTCAATACTGAGACGTGGTGACTTTTCAATGGGTTGGCCATCCTTCTGCCATACGACCTTGGGTGATGGGATACCACTGATGTTGACCTCTACAGTAAGTGTTGATCCAGCCTTAAGGACTTGTTGGCTCTTCAACTTGTTGTCATACTCAAGCTTGGGATGAGCTGTAGAATTGAATCATTATTCAGGTTAATATACGGTATTATACATAACAGGGTGTGTGATGCTGGTGTTTGGTTAAGTGTCATGTCAGATTGGTTTAATTCAAAACCCCATAAAGTAGTGTATGTTCTCAGTTCACAAGTTAAAAACATCTTCACACTTGGAAAATGGTTTTCATAAATTTGCCAGCTTCATATATATAAATATGGTTGGTCAAAACCGACAAGTATATAATTTTAAGAAACTTAAATGGTTTGAAGTCATAGTCTACAGTTTAACATACTATAGATGAAGGTGCCAGGAAAAAATGATTTTCCCTTGTCTATGTTCAGATTTGGGAAATAATTTGTTTAAAGAGTAAAACAAATTATAAACTTACTGTGTACAGATAGTGTGCCTGTTGTTTGGACTTGGCCAATCACGTTAGCAGCCTGACAATGGTAGACATCGGCATCCTCAGGGGCTGTGTCATGAATCACCAAGGCGGCGATCTCATCTTCGTAACTCATCTCGTATTTGGGGCTCTTCTCCACCTGTACTGTACCTTTGAACCTGGAAAAGAGGTCAACAGGGGTCAGAGGTCACTTTCTAAATAGTGCTAACTGTTACAATACATCATACAATGAGTTAAGATTTCAGGTGTAATCCCTTGGATAAGATCCATCCATATCTGATGAAAATTGGATTTTGATGGTCTAAAAATAAGGCCTACCATTTGATCTCAGATTCTGGCTCTCCAAGGTCAAGGTCACACTCTAAGATGGCATCTTTGGGTGCCACAACAACAGTATCCTGGAGTGGCTCCAGAAGTTGTGGTGCAACACCGACTGCGAAGAATAAAAATATAAAGTTAACAACAAGAATTAAAAAACAATACCAAAACACAACTTCTGTGTCTCAATTACAACAAACCAACTTTCTTTCATGAATAATAAATTTCCATATTTCCTTCTCACAACAAGTTTAATAACCTTTTATGAAACAGACTATATCAAACATACCAATTGGAGCCTGTACTTTGACAGGTTTGGTTGGTGAAGATGGTGGACCAACACCAGCTTTGTTTTCGGCGCTGATCCTGAACTCATAATTTGAGTTTTCCTTCAGACCAGTAACACTGAATGTAGTCTCAGGGACCGCAGTCTCATTGGCTGTTGTCCAGCGGAAGGCCCCTACAAGTCTGTACTCAATCACGTAGTTAAAGACTGGAGAACCACCATCATCCTCTGGAGGTGCCCATTTAAGGGCAACAGATGAACTGTCTGTTCCCATGATTTCAGGTGTACTTGGTGGTCCAGGTTTGTCTATAAATGTTTGAACAAATTTATCAAAGAAATTATTATTTCATTTATTGATGAAACTGTTCTAAAAATAATGATGATGGGATCAAACATTAAGATTCTATTATAGCATTTTTTGTAGAGAATCATTACATTCATTATGTTGGGCTTATTTGCAAATAAAGTACTTGCATATACCGTTATTAAGTAATAACTTCACACTTCCTACAACTTACCAAATGGATCCTTGGCAGTGATCGTATCAGAAGGAGGACTTGGCTCGCTCTCACCAGCTTTGTTTACTGCGATAACACGGAATTGATAAGTATTATCCTCCATCAGATCTGTCAGGTTACACCATGTGTCGGGAATGAGGTCATGTGAGGCACGTACCCAGCGTGGACTGAATCCAGACAACCGCTCCAGGTAGTAACCAATCACAGGAGAGCCACCATCATTGGCAGGTGGTTGCCATGACACTGTGGCAGACTTCTTGAAGACATCAGACGTAATCGGAGCATTGGGTGCATCTGGTACAGCTATAAAACAATGAATGCATTTACAATTTGTTCAACATTTCTTGAATAATGGTTAACTTCTGATTAAAAATGCACTTTTTAAATTTCATTCATAAATGTGGCAGAAACTCACGATCGATCATTCCATCAAACAATCAAGACTTACTGAAGGGATTCTTGGCCGTTACTGCATCGGTGAGCTCCACTGGTTCACTCAGTCCAATGTCATTCTTGGCAAATACTCTGAATAAATACTGGTTACCTTCCAGCAGCTTAGAGGCGACAAATTGTGTGTCTGGTGTTGTACCAATCTCTGACCAGGAACGACGGTTTGCTTCCCGCTTCTCGATGATGTATTCGATAATTGGACTGCCTCCATCATCCTCTGGCGTTTCCCACACCAATGAAATAGATTCTGCTGTGACATCCTTTGGTGCAAGATTCCTTGGAGCACTTGGTTTATCTAAATTACAAAAAAATTTACAGAAAAATGAAAATCAATACTGGGTACATACATTTCAAATTTAACAGGAAGTTTCCCTTTCTAATATTTTTTTTCTAGTATAATAATTTTATATACAGAAAAAGACAAATGATTTTAACTCATGATTAACTTTACTTCAGATTTAGTGATTTTGTCCTAAACATTAACTGACTTGATACTTTTTTACCTAAACTTTACATCTTAAACCTTAATTTGACCCCGACTTAAATCAACCTTCCAGTGCTAAGTAGTTTGACCTTGACATTATTGAAGATAAAGCCATTTGACCCTGACCTTAATTTAGCTTATTTTGAAGTATTGATTTGACCTTGACTTTACTTAGGGCTAATTGATTTTACCTTGACATCTGAACTAATCTTGTACTGAAGGATTTGACCTTGACCTTACCTAAGACTTTGAGTTTGATGGTGACGGCAGCCTTGCCAGATTGATTCTGTAATGTCAGGGTGTAGTTTCCTGTGTCGATACGTTTGGCCTTGGCTAGACGAAGTGTGGTCATATTGTAGATAGACTGGACCTCAATTCTCTTGTCCTCAGGCATGGACTGGTCATTAAAGGACCAGGTGACTGAAGGCTGAGGATTAGCCTTGAAGGGTATCTCAAAGGCAGTCGACTGACCAGCCTTAAGGATAACTTCCTCTTCATAGGCCTTGTCCAGGAACAGTTCGGGAGGCACTGAAATGGAACAGATGATGGTCATCTCTAATCTAAAGGTTACATATTATACCAGAGTTATCTTCCTTAGTATTAAACAAATAATTCAGAATTAACAAATAAAAATAGGACATGAATTTATTTTTTGTCAAATGAACAATTATAATTATAGTTTAAAATTTAATTTAAAAAAAAATGAACACTTTTTTTGAGAGATTAACACACATCAAAGACTCATCAATATTTTCATCAAATGTAAGTAGTCTTTGTATAACCTTCAAACAATATGTACCATGCCTGGTAATAAGCCCACCCTTATCTATTGTTGACCAGTAGCATTTTCAACATACTATTTCAGTGTCTTGTAATAAGCCCACCCCCTGACTTTGAGTGTAAGAAATAAATACCTTCAACAATGAGTTCTGCTTCAGATTTCTTGCCCCTTACGACCACCTTGTAGTCAGCTTCATCCTCTCCATCAATATCATTGATGGTCAGTTTGTGGACGGTGCCTACAACCTCCATCTTGTATTTGTCTGATTCAGCAATGGGTTTTCCATCACGGAACCATTTGCCAACAAGGTTAGCTTTGGTGACCTCAGCCTCGAAGGTTGCAGAAGATGGAATAGAGTGTACCTCCAAGTTCTCAAGCTTACGGATAAAGTCAACTGGCTCCTCTGCAGATAGGAACAAATTATATCAAATTTAATTATTGTCTACTTGATTCTTAATTTTTAGTTAATATATCTAAACCACCATCATCAGAATTCAAATTCAACTCTTTACACTTACATCGTAATAGAGACTTCTTATTTCTTAGATTTTCATCATGATACCATAGTGTATAACTTTGAAGAGCAAATCTAAACTTTTGGCAGATAAAGACTATGTTTTTTTAAAAATGAATTTCTATTATTTGTAATTCTGTTCATCTCAGTGTGATTGATAAAAAAAATATTTAAAAAATACACTTACATTAATAGTAGAGACAGATAAATTTTCAAAATCACTGAATCATCGTAAAATTTTGTGATATTCTGATGACAAAATTATACCTTCCACAAAGATTGCACCGGTAGAAAGTGTATCCATGACATTTATTGTGTATTCTGATTCATCATCAAGTTCAGCAGATGTGATGGTCAGTGTGTGGATGTTGTCCTGACTGGTCATCTTGACACGGTCACTTGGGGTCAATGGTTTGCCCTCACACAACCAGGTGGACTTGAGATTTGGTCGGGACACGATGCACTCCAGCACAGCTGTCTGTCCTTCCATAACCTCAACATCACCCAGAGGCTTGATGAATTGCAGGGGCTCTTCTACAAAAGTCAAGAGTTTTACTGATATATTTGATTCAAGCGTGTTTGACATAAGTGAATTTTACTGTAATTTGAAAACAGTAAGTGAGATTAGACAAGAATTGTTATTTAGAACGAACATGAAAATTTAAAAAGAAATTATTTCAAAAGTAACGAAGTTTGTATTTCAGTTTCCTTTGGTTTTTACCTTTAACTGTAAGTGTAGCTGTAGTCTTCTTGTCCTCTAGCTGACAAAGGTAGATGGCGCCATCGTCTAATTTTGCATCTGTGATTTTCAATGTGTGGACCATTTCTTTAGCAGTCACATGTATACGGTCAGACGGAACAATTTCTACTCCATCTTTGTGCCACGTGACCTTGACATTGGCCTTGTTTACTTCACAGGTGAATGTCATCTCTTCCTTTTCAAAGATTTCTGTGTCGGTCAGAGGTTTGACTATCTTGAGAGGTATTTCTGTAGGGAGTGGAAAGTAACAGCTCAATCAGTAATGATTTCTTATTGCAGGGAGTGGAATGTATCAGCTAACATCCAGCAGACTTACACTATCAATTGATCATTTATTATTAAATGTTTCTGTTGTAAGAACTTCTGTTACATAAAACAATAAAACATCACTTTTCACATCAATACGCTAACGATCATCTTTGTAATGGAAAAATTAATAGCAACTATTACAATTTCATTATTAAAATAAGACCATTTTGATTTAACAAAACAGGAAGTTTTGACAATTATGGTTTAATGAAAATAAATATAAAGCTGAAAAATAAAGACAAATATACAGACACATCAAAATAAATAACTGTTACAACTTTAAACAAACCCTGTAAAAGTATAAAATACTATTAATTAGTAAACCAGGTAGTTAATTCATATGAAGTATATTTATCAAGCAATAAGCCACTGTCTTGCAATAAGCCCATGTCTGGGAATAAGACCTTGTCTGGCAATAAGACCTTTTCTGACAATAATTCCATGTCTGATTAATAGGCCCATGTATGGCAATAAGGCCTTGCCTGGCAATAAGCCAAATAAGGCTTTCTGAAACAATTGGTGTGTAGGAAACTCACTGACATAAGTTATCTCATTGGCTTATATAATAAGCCCACCCTGTGACCTCCAGGGCTTACAGTAGGATAAATATGCTTATATTTATTTGAAATACTTAAATTTCATGTAAAAATAAAAAAGAGAAACAACTCTATGTTTTTTTATTGCAGACATTTGTATAGACATGCAGTTACTCAGGAGGTAAGTATCAAACAATTAATCTAAAAAAACCAATTAAAACTGTCTCAAGTCAGTTCTTGTTATTCAGAGTAAAATAACTAAACTTTACATATCTTTTCTATTTCTATAGAAAATACAGTGAAACTTAAAAACTACAGGACTGGCTAAGGGTCAGTAATACTATAAAATACTGGTTACAATTTAAATTCATTTGATATCAGGTGTCTTTGAAGACCTTAAGTTATTTTCCAACAAATAATAACATACGTATTTATATTTTTAATTCATTTTTTTTTCATATATGGAAATTGAATTTTTTCTTCATGTTTGATTTTTTCCTGTCTCATTTTCTTTCATTTCTTGGTAGCAGTTCTATTCTTTAACAAAGTAATTTTCAATGTTTCCCTATTTGAAAAGCCACTGGGTCCTGTGGAAATACAAAGGTAAGAGTAACTGAAGGATGAACTAGGATTAACTAACTATCTGTCTCAAGAACTCACTTTTTACAACAAAACGAATTCAAAAACCAATTTGTGATAGTTTTCTCATTGTGCACTCACCAAGAAAAACGAAGTGTAAAAAAAATTTTGTTGGTGTCAAACTTATCCAAGTCAGTGATTGGAATTTCGTTGCTGACATGGGAGTGCCCCAGAAAACTACAGCCAACATTATGAGAAAAAATATGATTACATTTGTGTTTTTGTTGTAAATATGGAAAAATTTCAAATTCAATCAAAATTGCAAAGTTCAAACTATGAAAGTATTTTGGCCAAATTACAGCTTATAATTAACAAATGACTCCACAGTCACCTAAAAAGCAAGTCCATGAGACAGGTATTATAAAGAGTGAGATAAACGCTACGGTTGCTATTGGAGCTACGTTACTATGGCTACACTAATCAGTGCTCTGTACAACAGTGTACCTTTCACAGACAACACGGCACTAGTATCTGTATCGTCAAAAGCAAATTTGTATTTGCCCACATCTTCTCCTGAGACACGCTGGAGATACAGAAGATGACGGGTGCCGTCCACCCGAATGTCATAACCATCACTGATTGTGATTGGTTCATCATCTTTGTACCATTTGCCCTTGACTTTAGGACGAGATACTTCACATTCAAACACAGCGGTACCTCTCTCAGGCACCTTCAAGTCATGCAGTTCCTGGACCAACTCAGCTGGTAGTTCTACAGAAAGCAGAGTTATGGGTAATGTAGGGAACTATAGGATAGGATATGGAATCATGGGTATCAATTAGCAGTGCATCATGGGAATTCACAAAATGAAAGTGCATTGCAGATCTCTGTATGGGGTATAGCATTATGGGTGTCTGAATGAAGAAGCACGGAATCTGTACTGTGTAAAGACTGATTGCATCATGGGATACTAGGCTGGTCCATTATAGGATGTGCTTATGTATCACAGGCTGTTGAACGGTGGCTTAACAACGGCAAGTGAGCATCTGCATTATTAGCATAAGTGATGCATGGTCAAGGGACGTTACAGACAAACAGGGTGAAAGGGATTGGGTAAGCAAACCATTGGAGACGTTCTAAGTGATCAGACTTATTTTGATTCCAAGGTCAAGGATATTTACAGCAGTTAGGAAATGAGTAATGCACTTAAGAAGTGAAACATACAAAATTGTTGGAAATGCTACAAATGAAGGTCTATCAATGTTTGACAATGTTTGACACAGATAACAAAAATCCTACCATCAACAAGCAGATTTGCTGTGCATTTCTTGTCACCAATTTGGATTGAAACCGAGCCTTCATCACTAATCTTGGCTTCGTGGATGATGAGTTGGTGGGTGGTGCTGTAGACGACAAGCTCTATCCTGTCAGAGCCCTTGATCTCCTCACCATCCAGGTACCACTTAGCAACCTCATCTGGCTTACTGACCTCACACTCCATTGTTACACTGTCGCCCTCGGTAACTTGAGTGTCCTTTAGTGGCTTCAGATACTCTACAGGAGCCTCTGTCAATGTAAAAACAGTTACTGACTTTAGGACAGGTGTAGCCATGGTTTTGTGAACCAGATCACTTTAGGACAGGTGTAGCCATGGCTTTGTGAACCAGATCACTTTAGGACAGGTGTAGCCATGGTTTTGTGAACCAGATCACTTTAGGACAGGTGTAGCTATGGTTTTGTGAACAGATCACTTTAGGACAGGTGTAGCTATGGTTTTGTAAACCAGATCACTTTAGGACAGGTGTAGCTATGGTTTTGCGAACCAGGTCACTTTAGGACACTAGTAGCTATGGTTTTGTAAACCAGATCACTTTAGGACAGGTGTAACTATGGTTTTGTGAACCAGATCACTTTAGGACAGTTGTAGATATGGTTAAAAAAAAGAGTGATATTTATCCAGGTTGCATATTTTCACTGGATCACTGTCCTGTTACAGGCCCTACCTTTGAGTCCAAGATAATGAGTTGACACTTTCAGCTTATTTTAAGATAAGTATGGCACTACCTTATCTTATCTTGAGGAAACTGAAGTAAAATGAAGAGGAAAACAAAACTGAGATGAAGAAACAAACCTTCCACCAGGACAATGGCACGTGATTTGGCTCCGTTGATGATAACACTGTACTCAGCTTCGTCATCAAGTACGGACTGGTCAATAACAATACGATGGTAAGCATTGTCATGGATCAACTTCACTCTGTCTGAGGGCGTGATTTGTTTTCCATCCTTCAACCACTTTGCAGGATATTCTGGTTTGTTAACCTCGCAGTTGAGACAGATAGTATCTTTCTCCATGACGGTGAGGTCTGACAGAGGGATGAGAAATTCCACAGGGAGCTCTGTAACCATGACAACAGGTAACGTAAACATGGCAACAGTAATAAATCAGTGATACTATCTAAATATAATGTAATAACACAAAATTTAGAAACTCTCATATATGACCTCGACCTTTGAACTTACCTTCTACAAAGACAGTGGCTGAGGTGGATACGTCATTGACTGTACATTTGTAGTCTGCCTCATCGTCGAGTGTGATGTCGGTAATCGTGAGGGAGTGTTGGTACTGGTCGACGGAGATAGAGAACTGGTCATTTGGCACAATCTCTACATCATCCTTACTCCACTTAGCCGGCATGTTCTTCTTGTTCAGTTCACATTCTAGTGTCACTGTTGTTCCTTCCAGCACCTCGGTTTCCTCCAGAGGCTTGCGGAACTCCAGAACAATTTCTAGAAATATGACATGCAAATTTTAAATAATATTTTGTGGTCATTTTAGGATGTCATATAATATAAATGATGAGGTTTGATACCTGATTACAATGTTCTCACTGACTCACCTTCAACCGTGACAGTTCCTTCAGTTGACACATCGCCACAGACACATGAATACTTGGCAGCATCATCAAGTGTGACATCAAGGATCTCTAGACGCTGTGTGCAGCCATCTGTGGTAATGCTGATACGGTCACTGGGTTTGATTGGCTCTCCATCCCGAAGCCATTCAACCTTGTAGTTGGGTTTGGTGAGAGCACATTCCAGGACCAGATTCGCCTCCTCAGTCACTGTTTGGTCTTCCAGAGGTTTGGTGAACTTTGGTGGCTCTTCTGCAATACAAAAAGAGAATTACTTTTTAATACATAAACTTTGTTATAAACAAATTGATAAAATCTCTTCAATAGTTCATAATGAATTTATTGTCCAGATTTCTTCCTCGCAGTTGGAATCTTTTTTATATTTCAGGATGCAATAAATTGTATTTGATCTATAAATGTCACAATATCATATACTCGGTTGATTAAATGGTGTTAAATAATCAAAAGTATTTTACCAATGACTTTACCTTCAATCTTGAGGGTTGCCTTGGTAGATACGTCACCACACACACAGGTATAGATGGCGCTGTCTGCCAATGACGCCTCGGCAAAGAGAAGTTGTTGTAAATAGCCATCCGTCACAATTGTGATATTGTCTGATGGAGTGATTTCTTCCCCATCCTTCAGCCATTTCACTGGAATATCTGGCTTGGAGAGTTCGCATTCCAAGGTCACAGTTAGTTTCTCCAGTGAGGTCTGGTCTTCGAGCAGTTTACGGAACTCTGGTGGTAGTTCTGAGGTGAGATCAGAGAATTTGTATCAATAAACAACTCTAAGTTTGTAAATATATTTCTTACAGTTAACTTACACATATAAAGATATTTACTTTTTCACTTTTTTACACATCAATAAGAAGTATTTCTGGCAAACAAAACTACAAGCTAAGCCTAATTTTCTGTTACACAAAAATTTACATCAAAGGGACATAACTCTTTGGAAAATCAGAAAAAAATAATCACAAACACTGGTTGACTGAATCAAGAGCCTTGTGACTATTGACAAGCTTAATACATGGACTAAACACCAAGGTAACAGGATACTGACCTTCCACAGACAAGACTGCTTCTGTCGAGGCATCACCACACACACAGGTGTATTTGCCCATGTCATCCAGAGTGACATCATCGATAACCAACTGTTGTACACAGCCGTTTGATATGATCTCCATACGTTTGGTGGGTGTGATTTCTTTACCATCTTTGAACCATTTGACGGGGATCTCCTCTTTATTGACTTCACATTCTAGTTTGACATGATCCTTTTCAACTGCTTTAATATCCTCCAGGGGGCGCTTGAATGCTGGTGGTATTTCTGATAAACAACATATCAATTTCATCACTTTCTTTTTCTTCTTTCCTGTTTTTTTTCTTTTTGTAGGTTTTTTTGTACTGGGGTTTGTTTCTCATTATTCATTTTTTTCCTATTTTTTTATTAATCTTTTTTTGCAATGATGGTATTAAATAGTTTCTATTAACATATTTGTTTTGAAAAAAATTGTTATAAAAAAAAACCTAATAAAAACTCTTATCTTTTTCCTTTTTTTCCTTTTTTTCAACTTTACAAAAGTTTTGTAAAAGTTCACAAGAGAAATGATTAAATATGGCCATCTTATGTATATGAATCAATGAATTTAAATTTTTGATCATTTCTCCAAGCATATTACAAAACACTGCATATTGTCAGTGTTTGTTTTACAAATAGTATGATGAGGATAAAACACTTCCTAACCCCTTTACTCCCATTTTCAATCCCTCATTCTGATCACAAGCCTTATCATACCTTTGATCGTGAGCATTGCTGATGATTCGGAATTGTCACTGAGTTGCACTGTGTATTCGCCCTCATCCTCAGGGATGGCTTCCTGGATTTGTAAGACGTGGCGGTAACGGTCACACAGGATCTTGATGCGGTCACTGGCGGTCAGTGGTTTCCTGTTCTTCATCCAGCTCACGTTGACATCAGGCTTGCTGAGTTCAACTGAGAGTTCCACATCTTCTCCTTCCATTCCAGTCAGGTCTGTCAATCTGTGTGTGAACGCAGCCGCAACCTCTGGAGAAGACAACAAAATGAACTCATTAGGACAGGAGATATAACTCAACTTACTCCAAGAGAACCACTGACACCAAAGGGGGATAACTCAATTACAGAAACTGATTTTAAACTGACATTTAACCTTGAAAGATGAAAAGCTACATACGCCAAGCAAACACTTTCTTCAAGGAGGCTTGGCATAAAGTAAGAGTGTCATTAGCCCAACAGAATTTAACATACTTGTACAGAAACCAAAAACACGAATAAACAGATGGACAAGATGATTAATATAGAGAACTAGCATCTCAATGCAGAGTCCTTATACCATGAATCATTACTAGTTATGATGACGTAATCTGTGATTGTACGAGATGTTGACGAAGTGACATACCTTCCACATACAGAACAGTTGACGACACCTGGCTGCCGATCATAATGCTATAATCAGCCTCATGATCCAGGTAGGCTACCGGGATCGTGAGGATGTGACGATTTCCATCTACAGAGATTTCATAACCATCGGCAGCTGTAATCTGTTCACCGTCCTTGAGCCACATCCCAGGAACTCCGGTCTTGTTCACTTGACATTCCATGGTGATGGATTCCCCCTCGGAGCAGTCGTAGCGGTCCTTCAGTGGGACTGTGATCCTTAGTGGGGCTTCTGTGTAAGATTGGAGAGTTGACAGGATGTCATATGTACATTAACAGAACACATAAATACAACGTAATCTAGGCTTCTTTAAAAATTATGAACGAAAGGGTAATGAGGTTTAAAACAAGTCATTTACCTTCTACAAACAGTGGGGCAGTGCTAGACTTGTCTTCCAGTTTAATTGTGTACTCAGCACGATCATTCAGGACAGCATCCTTGATGGTCAATTCATGAACCTTGCCCTTGGTGGTCATTTCTATGCGGTCTGAGGGTTCAAGTTCCTTTCCATCACAGTACCACTTGGCTGGTGCATCCTCTTTACTGACTTCACAGAGGAAGGTCACACTCTCACCTTCCATACAGGTTTGTTCCTCCAGAGGTACCATAAACTGGATGGGTAGTTCTACAAAGGGGAATAACTCTCAGTCAATTTTTGTTTAGTTCTACAAAGGGGAATAACTCTCAGTCAATTTTTGTTTAAGTTCCACACATTAAAGGGATATTGCAACATAAAATGTAGACTTTTTTTCTTAATGTAAGAACAAGATGGACATCAGGGCTATTCAATAAAGAGATTATCCATAATTATACATCAACATTTTGTTTTCATAAATACTTTGATATTGATAATTAATTTTAAAATGATTAATAGATTGAGAAATAAGATCATCAATTTCTAAAAAACTAATACTTATTGTGATGCATTTGCTCAAATTTGTAAAGCATTTTACTGCAATCCTGAAAAGAAAATCTCAAAGGCATAACTACTCAAAGACTATCACTTGAGGCACATGCTTTTGGTGTACATGACAACAACAGCATTCACATATTTTTAGTTGACAAGCAATTGGTCACAAAAATTTTAATAATAATTCAAAATAACTTTAATTTTTTTGATAAAATGATACATATCTTCACATATAAATGATTTTATAAATTATCTGAATCATGTCATATTTTATCTGCTTTAGTTTCTTTAAAAGAATATTCTTTAGGATTTGTCATGAGACAGTCGTGAATATTCATAAATGAAAAACCAACCTTTTTCAAGCCCTTCCTCAGATGTCCGTTTTCGACCAACAACAACGAGGTATTTTCCATAGTCGTTCATGCATAAATTACGAATATTGAGAACATGCAAGTCTCCATCATCCTGAATGTTGTATTTAAGAGACGGAGATAGTAACAATTCATCCTTATACCAAGAGACCTTAATTTGCTCCTTTGAAGTCGAGCATACAAATGTTGCTATGTGTTCATCATAGCAACAATAACGCTTCAAGGTCAAGGACAGACTGATGGGAATGTCTGTAAACAAATCACAGGAGATTTCATGCAGATTTTGGTGTTGGGGTGCAAAAATGCCTATCAGCTAGTTGTTTTGAAACCCTTGTGAAGCTGTACCTGGAGCTAACAAAGTACCGGACTCTATAAAGTCATAGCTATGGCTAGTTATGAGGAGCTAAGTTAGTGTGTGGGGAGATTGGGACATGTCGATGAAGCTAAGTTTGTATTGGTGAAAATTAGGCCGAGTGGGTGCATCTCATAATACATAGGGACATGTATTTTAGTCAGTAAACATATGACAATGTTATCAATTTAATTCCTGTATTTTAATGTTTTTGTAAAAGAAGAGCCTTAAAAGTGTTGCTGTGGTAACTAGAAGGTTAGTGACATCAGTATCAGTTTGTGATACATCGTACAATATTGCAGGTGACACTTGTTTACTATCAACTTGAGGTAGCTGTTGTATAGGAAGTGCAGTAATTACGATCTACCAATATAGATATTTTTCTATTTCTTATTAACAGTGGTAAATTAATACATTCATGGTGATTTTTGGCAAGAACAACTGCCTTTGGCATGATGTAGTCTGTGCTGTATGATAACATGCTTTATCTGAGTAACCAGCAAAGCATGATTTATCATAGTGTATAAATTTACTGAATAAGGTGCCATTTGTTTGACACTTGGAATAAGAGGTGAAACACAAGGAGTGCAATGAAATCTCTTTGAAAGAGAATAATGATAAAAATTTTTTTTTTTGCAATGAAAACTCTACGTGCTATACGTACGAGGCATGTCTTTGTGAGTTTCCATGTGTGAATACATTGTAAATAAGACAATGGCAGAAATGCATAAAATATTAGTAATGGGCAAAAACAAAATGGTGGATGTCACATCAAAACGTGAAACATTATCAATCACACAAACAGTCATATTATTGGAAGGATAAATCTGAATATTATGGGATGGCAGAATCTGTTTTGATGGGTTTGGAATTCTGATTACAGACAAGCGGGTAATACATGTTTTACTTTCAACTAGCAGCAAACGGCAAATATATCAGCTATGGTTGCCATGGCTACCGACCTTCAAAAGATATGGATGTTATTTCTTCGTCAATGATAAGACTGTACTCTGCATTGTCAGATTCTAACAAATTGTGTATAGTTAATTTGTGAACACTTCCTTCACTGAATAAAGTATATTTGTCGCATGAATAGATCGGTTGTCCATCTTTTAGCCATGTGGCCTGTGCATTTTCATTTGACACTTCACATATTAAAGAAGCCGAATGAGAAATTTCTGATTCTGGTTCAAGTCTTAGAGGTTGGACAATTGTTGGCACACTCTCAGCACTAAGAACTTCTTGTGCAGTGGTATCGAGATACTGAATTTCAGCTTCAGTTGCAACATCCAAAGCTTCACGATTCTCTGTTTCGAAAGTGAAAGGCAGAACATTTTCTTCTGGTGTAAGACAATGGGTTACAAGATTACTACAATCCGACTCCACATCTAGAGTTTCTGTCTCTTGTGAAGTCTCACAATTCACTGTCTCCATCTCCAAGTTAACAGATTGGAGACTCACTGTGTCAGGGGTATATGGTAACTGAATTTCTACATTTGTTTCAGGTACATGAGTTTGAAAAGTTTCAAACTCAGTCTCAGATGGGAGAATTTCCTCATCTTTTATAGAAGAAATATTTTCTGTTTCAGCTTCCATTTGTTTTGGTTGAAGATTGTCTGTGTTTGTTACTGGGATATGAGATTCAACAATCTCAGCTTCTGATTTCAGGTTTTGTTGCTCAATAATTTTGGCTTCTCTCTGAATATTAACAGGTGGAAGAAATTCACTCTTGGTTTCGAGAATTAAAGGGTGAAGAATTTCAGCTGTGGATTTTTCTGCAAATGTAAAAGCAAGAAAAAAAGGGCATTCCGTTAAGATAAAACCACAACCAGGTTCACCACAAGCATACCAGTGTAGCCCACAGATCAGTTGTTTTATGTTATAAGAAATAAATGTCCTGCAAATTGATTTCTGGTCAGTACTGGTCACATCGATCCAGAACTAAACCTAACGCTGTTTGGGTATTAGGTATCCAAGATCTCCGAAATTTGGAAGAGGAACCAGGTATATCTAACAGTACGTTATAAATAACAGGAAATCAGAACGATATTACGTCTGATCGTAAAAGGATCAGAAACTGTCTACGACACGAAGGAATTATTGTTAATTCATTTGATCTGTGGGCCGAAAAGTCACAAAACAAAAGAAAAACAAACAATCCCATTTGCTGTTCTTTTGTATTTCAAAGTCATGCAAATAATTATACATCATACACAAACCTTTCCTTTCCATTTTATATAACCATGCTGCAAAAACTGGTTTTTCATATCAAAAAAATTTAATCAGTTCACATTGCCATGTTCCATCTCAAGATTCTATTTTAAACAAGCAACTATAATATAGATTTGTATTGTATTACAGTGCACGAAGCATTCTGTATAGCTAAGTGTATATCCCAAAAACATGATGTGCCAATTAAAGTGTGATCATGCTTGTAACCACAACCCTCTGATTTATACATTCAAACACTGTGTGTTGCATTTGGATTGTATAAAATCTTGATTTCCCTTTCTTTTTTTTCATTTAATAAGAAATGCTATTGTTTCATCATTTTGTAAACAAAAACACATTTTTCATTTTTTAAATTATTTCAAAATTTCTACAATACATGTGAGATGAAGCTGTGATATAACCCTGTCGTGCTGTAAATTCTCACAAGTGGTGTAAGGATGTGTTTGCTTTAGTGGAGGGTTCAAAGCCTGCCCTCCAACAAGTGCTAGTAAAACCCTAAACCTCACCATCTTCTCTTTAGCATGAATGAAAAAGTATGACGGCGTTATATTTAGCATATATATATGATCGGAATATGAATAAAGGGGTATAACTCCGTATCTTCAGGGCTACTCTTATATAAATATTTGGAAGTGGTAATTCAGTGATTAGGATGTATGTTTTATCAAGATCATACATATGTTACTTTGGATGTTTTTTATCAATTTATAGTTGGTAGATTTACTTAAAAATGAATATTTAAGAAAAGAAAGTATCAATTCAAATACTGTCCCACTTTCAAGATACATGCAAATAAATATTATATACAGAACTAATCTAGAATTCCTTTGAGTTGAACCCTCACATGCAGTTAAATATATACACTGTGAATGATGTTTAATGTGCAGGCAAGTCCACAGCTGGTTTAAATTCCGATGTATTTAAAGATTTGATTTTTCTTAATTGTCTTCCTGAATTAAGATAATTTTTTAATTCACCTGTTCTTTTCCTACATTGGGAATTTTTCAACTTTTGTATTATGTCTTGTGTTAAGTTCTTGAGTACATGTTCTATCGTAAGTTTTGTTGTTTTTTTGTTTTTTGTTTGTTTGTTTGTTTGTTTGTGTAGATTTAACATAAGCAAAATCATTATTAGTTTCCTCTATCCCCAAAGTCCCCCAACCCATCCTTCTTATTTCCTTTCACTTGCATTCAAAAGATCCATTTGGAATCATCAAATTAAAAAGTTTGTGATCATTAATTTGAATGAAAGATTTTTAATAGCACACACAATACTTAAAATAGAAAAACATGCCCCCTTATTATTGTTAATATATTTATATAACACACTTTACTCAACATTAACATGCTACTTTTACAATATGCTCCCAAATAATTACACAAGACAATTTATCTAAATAATTTTCAGGCAGAATCTTTGGGTTGTAAAACCTTTTAAAACTACACTTTCAACTCCATGCTATGCTTCGTTTTTTGGTTAACAACAACAATTTCTACTACAGTAAAATAAAAGTTATTAACCCACATACCGTCTAGGCAGAGTTTGGCAGAGCTCTTTCTGTCACCAACGGTAACAGTGTAATCTGCAATATCAGATTCGTCAGCATCCATGATGACGAGTGTGTGACTAGTTCCATCATCCTTAATGATATGTTTATCGCTAGGGGAGATAACTTCATCATTTTTGTACCATGTAACATCTACATCGTCCTTGTTTACTTTACATGTAAAGTAGCAAGCCTGGTGCTCCTCGATGTGTTGTTCCTCCAGGGCTAGGACAATCTCAACGGGAGATTCTGTGGGGTGGACAGACGTGAGTTACAGAGGTATTTTAACTCATAACTCACTTCCTCTAATGCTACTACCACCTTACTCGTAAGAGTCAGGTTAATTGTCCTCAAAAGTTTTTGTCAAATATCTATATATAATTTCTCTTACTGAGTCCCTAATTCTTAATCTCTATCCAGAAAAATGCTTTCATATATAGATATACCCTTGCTTTGCCCCTTACGATTGTCAATCCTTAATTTCTACATACCTCTTGACGGCTGACAATGGACTCTCCTTCCTATATAACTCTATCTCACAGAATGACTTTCCTTCATGCTACTGTAGCAAAGGATGTCTGCTTTATTATATATCCTTATTCATGGATTGGCCTTAACCTTTACCCTTTATTCACTAAATACTCCCTCCCTCATTACATTGTCCTATATAAAGGATCCTTTGCGATGATCCTCTGTCAGAGAATAGACCCTCCCTCAACTTCCTATCTAACAGCAAATTCATTTCGCTAACTGCTTGCCATTCGTTTGTTGTTTGTATTTTTTCTTTTTTTTAGATTGTTTTCTTTTTAAGATAAGTATTCATGTCTAGCGTTCTTTTTAAAAGTCAAAAACAAATTTTCACACGGATCTGGATTTGGTGGAACAGTCATGCGTAAAACAGGTCTACGAAGGTGCTTGGGCAACATTCTTCAATAATGAGGAAAATGGATAGCATTGTAGGAGATCAGAGGAAGTGAGGTACAGGAAATTCAAACACATGTTCACTAAATCTTTGAACTTCAATCTTTAAAATATCAAGTAATATACCACTCCGGATGAATTAAAAAAAAGACGGATGCAAAGTGTGGAATTAAAAATCCAAAGAATCCTTCTCAATCTTTTTTGTTCCTTGAAAACCTCAATTTCAACTATATCAGTGACCTTGACCTTACACCTACCTTTGACTGTTAGTGTAGCAGTGGCACTTGTGTCCTCGACCTTGGCTTTAATGAGACCACCATCAGGCAGGATTGCATCTTTGATGGTAAGCGTGTGTGTTCCTTTGTCTTTGGTGACGACAAAACGTTCATCTTCAACAATCTCCTTGTCGTCCAGGAACCATTTGACAGTGGCGCCCTCTTTGCTGACCTTGCAAACAAATTCTGCTGTCTCACCCTCCATGATTGAAACATCATTAGGTGGAGAGGTAAACTCAGGTGGGAGTTCTGTGAAGGAAACAAGTTACAACATTATCAAAGTCATCTGTTTAATTGTTCAGATTTTCTTCTGATGTGACACCATTTTCATAGCGAGGTATCAGTTTTGTATCGATATAACAAATGTGATGTTTTTTTCTGTTTTACAACAAAAGCATTTTTTTTTTCTAAATAAACATGCAGGAGAATGTCCCAGATTGAGATCTTAATAAAAATCATGATTTGGATATAATTAAAATTTCTTTCTGCAAACCAATGTTATTTAACTCAAGGCTTATTATATATAAACTTTATTTATTTTACAACAATTGCGAAACAAGTTATGTCAACTTATACTAATCACTCTTGTTGGCCTGGATGTAAGCGCGCGAGGGGTCTTATTGTGGGAGGAAACCAGAGTACCCGGGGAAAACCCATGTGGTCGGGCAGGTGACCCCTTACCTTTTCACGTCCGTTCCGGGAATCGAACCCCGGTCGGCTAGGTGAAAGGCGAGTGCGTTAACACTGCGCCACCCGACCACCTTATTACAGGCTTATTACAGGTGAATGAAATAGTATTTGTTCATAAGTAAACAAAACAATGGTAAACAGGGTGGGGTTTTATTCAGGTTATCAAGAATGGGCTTATTGGTAGATGAAATTTAGACAAAATATGAAAAGTTGGTCTCTTTTTTAGACTTACCTTGTACAAAGAGGGAGGCAGTTGATTTCTGATCCTTGGCCTGGATGGTCACTTGTCCTTCATCTTCTACTTCAATGTCCTCGATGATCAACTTATGTACATGACCTTCAGAAACCATTTTGATCTTTGCATCCTCCTTGAGTTCCTCTTCATCAAGGAACCATGTGACCTTGTCAACGTCACGGTTGATTTCACTGACAAACTCTACGGTTGAGTGCTCCATAGCTGTGATATCTGAAAGTGGGATCTTAAACTCCACTGGGATCTCTGTAATGGAAAAATCGATCAAAAATGAAAAATCTGATAGAAATGTTTCACTATTCACTCTCAAAACCACTTCAGAAGCCAAGTATTAAATTAAAATCCATATATGTTTGTAAATGTTATATGAAATTAGCTAATTGCTGTCGTTGAGAAAAAAATAATTTCAAGGTTATTATGTGAATAAAGAAATAATGACCCTTGACCTCACCTTTGACCTTGAGGTTGGCAGTGCTTGATTGGCCCTTGGTCAGGAAGGTGACCATACCATTGTCAGCAAGGTCGAGATCTTTAAGATAAAGTTTGTGGACAAAATCTTCACTAACAAATTTGACAGTGTCACTTGGTACGAGTTCCCTGTCACCAATGAACCATTGGACCTTGTCAACATCTCGCTGGACCTCACAAACAAAGGTCACTGATCCATGCTCCCATTCTTCCATGTCTTTCAGGGGCACAATAAATTGTACGGGGATTTCTGTTTAAAACAAACAAAAATATACAAATTCCACATTTATATCTTCTTAGCAATATAATTTCTAAATGTTGACATATCAATAATTTCTGACAATTGATAGTTCATTCCAAAATGATTCAACATCTGTGTATCAATTTAAGACTTTTACAAGAAATGCTATTTAAAAGAACATGCTGTCTATTGAAATGTTAAGATCATTTTCATACTTTTGTACATGTTAAATTAATTAGTTTTACGAAATACAAAAAAATCTAAGATTTCTGAATTAGCTAAAGAAAAATTTCTATTGATAACATCAAAAACCTACCGTTAACTGTAAGAGTACATTCTGTAGAAACGTCGCGGGCAGTAGCACTGATCTTACACGAGTCCTCTGGGTTGAGGTCAAAGATAGTGAGCATGACCTGACTGTTTTTGCGAGCAACCTTGTATTTCTTGTCATCCTTGACTGGCTCATTGTCAACCAGCCAGATAATGTCAACCTCCTCTACGTTGATTTTAACTGTGAATGTGGCATCCGTGTGCTCCATTGCTGTTGTGTCCTCAAGTGGTATCAAAAACTCAACAGGTAGTTCTGGCAGACAAGAAAAAATTGTAAGTACAACAGGTAACTCTGTCAGACAGGTAAAGTCACAGGTAAGTACAACAGGTAGTTCTGTCAGACAAGAAAAAATAGTTAGTACAACAGGTAACTCTGTCAGACAGGTAAAGTCACAGGTAAGTACAACAGGTAACTCTGTCAGACAGGTAAAGTCACAGGTAAGTACAACAGGTAACTCTGTCAGACAGGTAAAGTCACAGGTAAGTACAACAGGTAACTCTGTCAGACAGGTAAAGTCACAGGTAAGTACAACAGGTAACTCTGTCAGACTGGTAAAGTTACAGGTAAGTACAACAGGTAACTCTGTCAGACAGGTAAAGTCACAGGTAAGTACAACAGGTAACTCTGTCAGACAGGTAAAGTCACAGGTAAGTACAACAGGTAACTCTGTCAGACAGGTAAAGTCACAGGTAAGTACAACAGGTAACTCTGTCAGACAGGTAAAGTCACAGATAAGTACAACAGGTAACTCTGCGAGACAGGTAAAATATAAAAAATAAATTTCACAAATAGACACGAGAGTCCCTGATCTAACTCACCTTTCACAGTAAGGTTTGCTTCTGTAAAGAGTTTGGCATAGGAGCAGCTGATGTTACATGCGTCTTTAGGTTTACATTTTGTCACAGTCAGAGCGTGCTTCTTTTTCTCAATATCAATCATGTACTTAGGGCTGGCCTCTATGGGCTCACCATTCACCTTCCAGGTTACCATGACGTTTGCTACGCTGAACTCGCATTCAAAACGAGCCTCGTCCATCTCCACTACCTCAAGGTCGTGTAGTGGCTGAAGGACCTTCCACTGTAAGTAATAGGTATACACATGTCACAGTAAGTTGGTCAACAACAGAACAAAATTCACAACAGATGCAAGTGAAATTACAAAGTATGAATATCAAAAATAAATATTCATGAATTTCTAATAAGACAGAAATTGTTGGGTTCGTTGGTTTGAAGGATGAAAGTTCTGTATTCTTACAGAAATTATGAAAGACACTATCTTTTTCTTTCGTTGATCATATTCAGTCCATGGAAAGGGAGAAAAATGATGACTCTTGAATGTATTAATCCTTTAACGCAAATGGAATGAAAATAACTATGCATAAACCATAGACAAATCCACTTGGACTTTCTCAGTTTGATAATTATGTACTGCAAATCTTTAATCAAGTCTTAAGTTTTAAAACGTGTATCATCTGTGGCATACCTGAGCCTTAGGAATGACCAGTTTGACTGGTGGTGCCTCTTCAATCTTCTGGGGTTTGACAAGACGGCTGTATTTGTCCTTAATGGATGGCTTGCTTGGAGCAGTTACCTCAGCGCCTTTCTCAGGAGCTGTTGCCTCTAGACCAGACTTTGACCTTTTGTCCATCTCATGACCTCGCTGAATATCAGTCAACTGTAACCAAAATGAACATATAATTCAATTTTTCAGATAAAATGGAAGGAAAGCTTTATTTATGTTATATTTTCAGATCAAAGCTCTAAACACAAATCATCAACCAAAAAGTAAGGTACTTTTTTGGGTAGTAGATCTAGTTAGACTACCAATAATACAACAGCCTTCAGATTACCTCCTGCCGAGATCTGCGACGATAAATTTCATGACCAGTAGCTTCATCCAATTCTTTTGTTCCTGGTACAAACTTCTTGGCATCAGGTTCGTCTTCTTCCATTTCAACATGGCGAAGTTGTGGCATCCATTCAACAGCCTCATCACCTTGGTGACGGGTAAATTCCCTACAGAGAAATATTTATATTACTTACACAGATTTATTCAACTGCATGAAAATATAAATTTTGCGCTTCATTTTTCTGACCTTTAACCCTATATGCCACCATTTGACCTTTAACCTTTTATGTGACACTCTGACCTTTAAACATATATGTCACTTAATGTTAATGTCTCTAACAATCAGGTCAATGAAAATCAACACTTTTATGTTAATTTCACGGAACTATGGTCCAAAATGCTTTATCGATTAAAAAACAAAATCCCAATCGATTTCACTTCTAGCCCAAACATAGCATCCAGTGATTGACCTATGATCCTTGACCTATGACCTACCTATGTTTGAGTTGGTCTAACCAGTCGTTTACATCCTCTTCATCATTGGTAACCATCAGAGTTGCAGGTGCATCACATGTTCCGTGTTCATTGGTAAGTGTGACCAGGTAGGTTCCTGCATCCTTCTTCTGAACAGATCTAATCTCAATAACCTGTTCTTGTGTTTCCTCATCGACAAACACATTGTATTTCTTATCACTTTTGATCTTCTGCCATTTACCCTTAGACCAAGAGACAGTGGGTTTCGGCTCTCCGTCAATAATGCAACGGAACATCGCTGTGGCACCTGTAGGTTATAAAATTTTTGTCTGAAGCTCTCGCAATATGTTTCCAAAAGTGTATGTACTTGTACATATATAATGGTATTTGTGTATTTTTCTGTCACCATAGCAACTATAGATATGAAAACAATATTTACATTTGTGTTAAAACATTCCTAATCTGTTTTCCTGCAGTATATTTATGATGCCACAGTTTAAAAATTGATAAATCTTTTCAACAAACCTTCCAGCATTGTACACTTGAGAGGTACTTCCTTAAAGCTTGGTGCACGTCCACGGACTGTGAGTTCAGCTGTACAAAGCTCCTCGCCACCAGTGTTGACAGCAACAGCCTTGATGAGACCTTGGAGCTCTGGTGACGCTTTGTCTATAACCAGTGAATGTGTTCGGTCACGTTTGTTAAACACCAAGTGGACTCCTTCGCCTTCCTCTATTTCCTGGTCATTGATGAACCTGGTTCATTAAAAACAAAAAGAGTTGTTTTGTTGTTTGACATGTTTATAAAAAAAAATCCTTGTTTATCTTCCATGAATAATCACAAACTACATTCATAAAATACAACTTCAACCCCTCCCCCTCTTTTTTTTGGAGAGGTGAGAGGAGTGATTTTTCATATCATCCTGTGAGACACAGGCTACACCCAATCAGCCTTTTCCAGTATAGATGCTTCCCTTAATCTGGATCTTTAAAAAGCTTGACATAAAATTTGACGTACCATTTAACTTCAGGAAGAGGAAGTCCTTCCACTTTACAGTCGAAGCTTACAGCGCCCTCTTCTGGGACAAGAGTGTCAGACATTTTTCTTGCAAATGATGGCTTTCTACCAGCTAGAAAATCAAAAGAAATATTTTTAAGGTCTTTATCTTAAAGTGATTATTTGGTAGTTAATGATTTTGTGACACTTCTCAGAAAGGTCACATAGTCATTCCAACAATGTTACTAGTCTACTACTTGAAATGGTTAGAAAGTGCAACGTTGTTCCTCTAATGGTGAATATATTACTGTGTTCAATGTCCTTCACAGTAAAAACACAGTGTGTACCATTACTGCTTATCATATAAATTTGCTTTAATTGTTGTAACAACCAAAAAAGTCAAAATCATGAATGACCTTGACGTCCAATACATAAGATAGAGACAACTTTCTACAGGGTAGCAAAATACAGATGCTTTTTAATCTTTCTTCTCATTAATCTGTTTCCTATGTAACTCCTATATATTCTCAGGTGGTTAAAAACTTACGCAAGACTTTGAGACGACAGCTGCAGGAGACCTGGCCAGCTGGGTTGCTGGCACGAATTGTGTAGAGATTGGAATCTGAAACTTGTGCACTGGGGATTGTGAGACGGTATGTCTGGTCGATGACTTCAAGTTTGATGTCTTCAGATTCAGTCAATACTGTCTTATCCTTCATCCTGTACATAACAAACACAAACATTTTAAGATAATATTGATCAGAAATCACTATCTTCATATTTCCCTACAGATTTTGTGTATAAATCAGATTAACAAACATAAGCGATTCTACTGAACAGCTTATTACATGGTTTGGGCTTATTGTGGAATAAATAAGGTACACGTACTGTGAAACATCATCATTGTCATGTTTCCAAAAAATGTACATTTTCAGTGGCAAACTACTGGTTTGAGTTTTATATTATAACTTCACCAGGCAACAACCAGTTTTGGTTTGCATCAAACTTACAAGACAATAATTGGCTTGGTTTAGCTATTGAACTTACCAGATAATATCTGGCTTAGGTTTGCCAGAAATAGCACACTCCAATACAACTGAGCTCTTCTCAACCACTTCCAAATTCTCCAACCTCTTAATAATCTTGGGGCCTTCTTTCTTTTCTGAATGACAAATTAAAAATGCATTTCAAAAACTTTTAGTAAGCAGACTTTTTGCGAAACTCTTTCCGGCCAATGAATACCACACTTCAACACCTGCTTTTGTTGTATTGATGACATAAAATTATCAAACTTTGAGTATGCAACCAAAGCCAGTTACAAACCTTCGACAGTGAGTCTGCCTTCACAAGTTACTTCCCCTGCTTTATTGGAGGCAACAGCCTTGATCTGGCCTTCATCTTCCAGTACGGTGTTGTCAATGGTAAGAATATGGACCACGTCTACGTAACCCTTGCGCTCATCCATGCGGAACCTGATCCCAGTTTCAATTGGTTTGTCGTTGATAAACCTGTTGACATGATTGTCCTCATTAAGTACAATTTCGAGGAGCCACACTATCTGAGACTTTGGTAAAGTAACAAATAATTAATCAAGTAAGTAATTTCTCAACGTTAACAAAATCCTTTTTGGAAATACTGCATATGGTTGGAATAAAAGATCCAATGAGACCTCCTGACTTTTTTTAAATAATGAAACAGCAATTCTCATTGGTTAAACTACCTACCATGAGACTTCTGGTTGAGGGATGCCTTTGACAGCACATTCAAATCTGACAGGACGACCGGCCTTGATGTCCCTAGAGTTCACCTTACGAGTAAATTCTGGGGGCTCAGACTTGCCTGGAGATAAAATATTTCGAAATATTGAAGACTTACACTTTAAAAAAATGTTTGTATATGGTAAACCCTACTCTACATTTCCTGATAGTGAACATACACATTACTCACATTCATATACAGAGTTTCAAAAATTTTAAGTTTGTAAATTTCGACAGAACATGTACAAACAGTGCATCAGAAATGGATGCACATTCCTTCATCAATTTCCATTTTCCCCCAAATAATGACATTGTTTAAAGAAAATGTCTTTCACCTCTTTTCATGGAATCATTCTAGACAAAAAAAATGCCAGTTTACTGTTCAAAGAAAGCAACTTGATTCCATACACACCTTCCACATTGACTTTGGCAACGTGTTCTGCTTGTCCTGCAGAGTTAGTGGCAACGCATTTAAATTCTCCCTCATGATCAACAGTTGATTTCTTTATCAACAGCGTGGTCGTTTCGTCATCATATGAGATACTGACAGCTGGGGTATTCATTAAGGCTTTACCATTGTTGAACCATGCAACCTCTGGACGAGGTAGTCCAACGACCTTGGCGATCAAGGTCAAAGGTCTCTCCTCCATTACAGTCTGTAATCAGGGAAATTTTCAAGTTTTATCCTTAAAGTCATTAATCATCACATGATGCATTTGGAAAGTCTTGATTGGTTAACCAGTCAGTTAGAATTCAACTCCATGCAAAAAAATCTTCTTCATTATTATACAGAACTTTATCATTTAATAAAAAAAAATATTACTAGACATTTTTAGAAAGATTCAATTTCAAGAAAACACAGACAAACTTACCAAGAAGAGTTTGAAATTGAATTAGGTCTTTGTAAGTATTCGTTCTAAATCTGTGATATTTCTACTTAAATCAACTTTGAAGTTAAAATATTTTTCATTCTACTTACACACTCTTCGAAGACCTCTGTAAATTCTGGTGCCTTGGACTCGTCTTGGTGTCGAAGAACCAGTGGTGACTCGGTCAGACGCTTGTCACGAGCAACTTCTGTACAATATACACACCTCTTCAAAATTCGATTGATATTGAGCCGTTGTGTCATAAAATGATAGAGACATTCTCCCATAGGCTTGTCCTAAACATCTCTGTGTTTGTAACACTTTGGTGTAAATACATGAAGCACTATCTCACAAAAAGTTTGGCATTTTTATTTCTCCAAAATTTAAGTCACATTTCATAAATCATTCCCCGTATCACAAACAGCTGCCTACCAAAAAATCTGTCTTAGTTTTCTGTCAATATTGAGAAATTCAAACCCTTTACTTCATGAAAGAATTTTTATCTAAATGAAACCAACCAACTAAATTTCCAAAATTGAGATACAAAATGAAGTCCTACCTGTGACTTCAAGAGGGATTTCACAGGTAGCTTCTCCAGCTTCGTTAGTGGCGATACAGGTGTACACACCAGCATCAATTGTATCAGTGTCTTTGATCTCAAAACAATAAGTGTCTTCATATTTCTCAAAATCGTACAAATCTTTGTCCTCAAGAATTTTGTCCTTCTTCCAGGCAACTGCACAAAGAAATGAAATTTTAAATTATGTTGGCTTGAGGTACATTTCTCAGCGTCATGATTCTCTTTCTGTTATCAAAATATTGTGTTGTTTTTTTAAGAAAGATATCCATTATCTTCAAATTTTAATATATTGTATCTCATCTTAATTGTCAAAAAAAAAGGGGGGGAGGGGGAGGGGTAAAAAAATGCTCATACATCTATGAGACTTAGACTTTTTTAAGTACAATGTAGTGTTTTCACAAAAACAAATCTACCTGTAGGTTTTGGCATTCCAACAACCTTGACCAGGAACTGAGCACGCTCATGTTCCCTAGCAACAACCTTTTCTGGAACCTTGATGAACTCAGGAGGGGACAATTTCTCATCCTTCGGCTCTGTAACACCAAACATTGTTAATAAATACAATCCAGTCATTTACTTTGTTTAATATCTGGAGTCCAAAATAAGTATTCAGTGTCATGTATAATTTTCAGTATATATCAATTTGGAGCCAAAGACAGCATATTCTTCCAGAAAACACAGACCAAAATAAAACTGGGATGTTTGAGACCCAGCAACATGGAAATAAGTTGGCCTGCATTGTGAAAAGCCTGAAACAGGCAAAACACAATATTATCCCTGAAGAAAGTCATTATATAATGAGTCGGGTGGTTATGTGATGATACCTTCACAATCCAAGAATATTTCAGAAAATAACATTTAAACACCAGAAAATGTTTGTGAACTATTAAAGTTACAGTTTAACTTAGATTTATTGAATCGGACTATACCATAATATATACAGGTAATACACCTGATAAAAACTGGTAAAGTGTTTGTACATAATGACTAGAGATCTACCTGACCACCCCTCTACTCCTTAGTAGGAATTAGAAATATTCAAGTTCTTGATTTTTTGTTTTGTTTTGTCATCATATCAGTGGTTACCTTCGACGAAGAGTTCCGCTTTACATTTGGCGGTGCCAGCTTCGTTCTTGGCCTCAGCTGTGTAAGTCCCATCATGCTCTGGAAGAACATCCACAATCAGAAGTGAAGATTCACAGTCTTCACCATACTGAATTGTAAATCTGTTGTCAGTCTTTGTGATTTCCTTATCATTTTTGTACCACAAGATCTCAGGTGTGGGTTTACCAGTAGCACGACAAGTGAATGTTGCTTTCTCTCCAACAGTGGTTTCGACTGTCTGAATTTCGACCACAAATTTGGGTGCTTCAAGCTCCTTCACTTCTTCTACTGGTTTGGCTTTGAAAGGAAATATATTAAATCGTTTTCATTGATTATCCGACAGCAATTGAAAATCAAACATTGAAAAGCACATTTGAATTTACAATAGAAGATAATTACAATATTCAATTGAATATGTTAATTAATGATGTTTCATCTGAGATCAAAAATTGAAATTCTAAAGAATCTGGTCAAAATTCCTTGACAGGATATGTCACAGTATTACATAATAAACACATTGGAAATAATGTTCTATGATTAAAAACAAAAAAAAATTTATGAATGAAAAAAGAAAATTTATCAAAAACCAAATCCAATGTTCTAGATAAGATTATGATATATAACAATTTGAGTTTAATTCACCTGTGACTTGAAGTTCGGCTGTACACGTAACTTTGCCAAATTTGTTTTCTGCCTCGACAGCATATGTCCCTGCATCCTCAGGTGTGATGTCGTAAACCTCAAGATGGTGAAGTTTTTCATCCTCGAACACCATGTATTTGCCCTCCTCTGTGAGCTCATGACCATTACACAGCCAGTGCAATTCGGGTTTTGGTTCCCCTATCACTTCGCAGCTGAAGTCCACTGTCTCACCTTCTGTAATCTGTTGAGGTAAAAAACACAGAATCAAATTGCTTCCTGGAATAACAAAGTGTTGTTTTCAAAAACAACATTAAAACATTGATGTTACTGGTATCTTAAAATTTTGTAAATAGACAACATCAAAAGTCTTGTGGTGAAAACAATACAAAGGTTAAAGCAGGGACATATTATACGTCCCTGGTTAAAATCAACATTTAAATAAATGTATTATGTGATCTTACAGTCTTTTTTTCGATGGTTTAAACATTTTTCATGGATAACATGAAATGGATTATATCTTCCTCTGCTAAGTTTGTATTTCAAGCATCCATTTTCTTATTCCTTAAAAATAACAGCAATCAGAATTACTTTGAAATGTATAACCTTTACTACAGAGGTACAGCGTAAACTGTACACACAGTGTAAATAAACAGCTTTACATGTAGATGAGGATAGGAACAACTCTGTGACCACTTACTGTCTGTGTTTTTATCTTGAGGACAAATTCTGGAGCTTGTCCTTTTTCAGGTTCAATAACAGCAGTTTCCTCAACTGTTTCAACTTTCTTGGCTCCTAGACAATAAAAATAATAAAACATATGCATGAGGAGACCGTTAAAAAGCACATGTATGATGTAATAACAAGCATCTGATTCACAGTGACCACAGAGGTCAACATCACAGAAATAGCCTGCATATGAAGAGGAAGGTAATGAACACATACAAAAAATGTGTAACCCTACCTGTGCCCTAATCAGCAACATTATTAACATACTAATAAGTTTCAATCTTTCTAAATATTAACAATCTAAATGAGAACACTTTGACGGTATGATATTATCATCCTGGAAAATAAATCAAAGATTTATCATTCATGCAATCTTTAAAAAAAAATCAGAAAATCTGAATATTTAATAGTATAGAAAAACATATTTGTTGATTATTTGGCAATGAAACAGCTACAAAACAAAAACATGCAAGGGCAAATTCACAAAAAGTAAATCTTGTTTTGCATTTTTTTTTTCTTTTTAAGAAACCAGCAGTCCCTATTTACAAATTAACATGATTTTCTCTATTTCTCACTATTGAAAGTAGAACACTATTTCTCACTATTGAAAGTAGAACACTATTTCTAACTATTGAAAGTAGAACACTATTTCTCACTATTGAAAGTAGAACACTATTTCTCACTATTGAAAGTAGAACTCTATTTCTCACTATTGAAAGTAGAACACTATTTCTCACTATTGAAAGTAGAACACTATTTCTCACTATTGAAAGTAGAACACTATTTCTCACTATTGAAAGTAGAACACTATTTCTCACTATTGAAAGTAGAACACTATTTCTCACTATTGAAAGTAGAACACTATTTCTCACTATTGAAAGTAGAACTCTATTTCTCACTATTGAAAGTAGAACACTATTTCTAACTATTCAAAGTAGAACACTATTTCTCACTGTTGAAAGTAGAACACTATTTCTCACTATTGAAAGTAGAACACTATTTTTCACTATTGAAAGTAGAACACTATTTCTCACTGTTGAAAGTAGAACACTATTTCTCACTATTGAAAGTAGAACACTATTTCTCACTATTGAAAGTAGAACACTATTTCTCACTATTTAAAGTAGAACACTATTTCTCACTATTTAAAGTAGAACACTATTTCTCACTATTGAAAGTAGAACACTATTTCTAACTATTGAAAGTAGAACACTATTTCTAACTATTGAAAGTAGAACACTATTTCTCACTATTGAAAGTAGAACACTATTTCTAACTATTGAAAGTAGAACACTATTTCTAACTATTGAAAGTAGAACACTATTTCTCACTATTGAAAGTAGAACTCTATTTCTCACTATTGAAAGTAGAACACTATTTCTCACTATTGAAAGTAGAACACTATTTCTCACTATTGAAAGTAGAACACTATTTCTCACTATTGAAAGTAGAACTCTATTTCTCAGTAAGCTCTGGATGTTTAGAATCCTATTTTCTCTGTTTATCTTTCTCTTGAATATGTTTTTTTCTGACAAACTGCTTCTGACACAGATTTACATATAATCCAAACGAATCCCATCTGGTAAGTTACTGTCCAGTCACTGACCAATAAATCTAGCTGTTACTGTCTACAGATGTTACAGACAAGAAGAACCACTTATCCTGCTACTTACACAGGCCATCCCTTACAAACAACCTAAACCTAAAATACAACAGCTAGCATTAAATCAGAACTTAGAAATTTTACATTAGCTTCAAAATAAAAAAAAATTTTTTGTTGAAACTTGGCCTCAAATAAAATCGAAACGTCACACCAGTCTTCCATCACTTTTTTATAGTAACAAACAAATAAACTTTCTTATTAATTTGTATTGTTTCATTTTGATTTATCTATTTATATTTGTTTTTTTCCTTTTAATTTATGCTAATATTTTGTATCTAATGATATCATCTCACAAAAAAATTTTAAGATCACAATCATGTGAAATGAACAAAATACATTTCTTTGAATTAAATTTTTTCTTGAATTTTCCAATTGTGCATAAAATGGCTTTAAATAAGGGATCATTGTTTAAAGTAGTTCAAATAATATGTTATATGTCAGACGTATTTTCCTTATGATATCAAAAATATTTCTTCTTGAAATTGACTAGAACATGTCTTAACTGAAGTGAGTACTTAGGAACAGAAGCATTGTGTGAGAAAAAGGATAAGGACATTAACATTACATGTGCTGCAGATGTGTACATAGATCTTTGTAATTTAATTGTGAGACCTGTCTGTCAGCCACTTAATTAACATACAACCATCAGGGTTTAGATATTAGCTTTCTGAATGCTCCCCACTCTCCTTCCTCCTTCCATCCTCTCCAGACTACTAATGAATTTCATACTCAATTGAACTATTCCCAAACATGTACTTAACCAATTTCATTTAAATTTACTTTCATGTGTTATTTACACACATGGATCTTAAGTGATGTGTTCACCTACACAGGGGTTTGTTGTAATGTATAGCTACACAGAGGTTTGTTATAATGTATAGTTACACAGGGGTTTGTAATGTATAGTTACACAGGGGTTTGTAGTAATGTATAGTTACACAGGGGTTTGTAGTAATGTATAGTTACACAGGGGTTTGTAATGTATAGTTACACAGGGGTTTGTAGTAATGTATAGTTACACAGGGGTTTGTAGTAATGTATAGTTACACAGGGGTTTGTAGTAATGTATAGTTACACAGGGGTTTGTAGTAATGTATAGTTACACAGGGGTTTGTAGTAATGTATAGTTACACAGGGGTTTGTAGTAATGTATAGTAGCACAGGGGTTTGTAGTAATGTATAGTAATACAGGGAAAATCTTGAGTGCAAATAGTAATAGATAATTTTCTGCCAATTTAAGTCTATGTAGGAATTAAGAAGGACCATCCTATGTGAAATTGAAAGAAAATTGAAATATGGAAGGTTTTTGAGGGGCTAATGGCCCCTTAACTCCCTCTAGGATTATCCCTGGTATAAGCTGTCCTTATACAGAATTTGTTTGTGGTAACCATGTTCTTTATCAACTAAATGATTCTGTATTTAACAAACATAAATGAAGCAAATCTTAAATTGATTGTTGCTGTTGAAAAAAAATATATATCAATGAAGTGAGTGATATGTAGTCTCCTATAAATACACTACTATTTCTAAATAATTTACACCAAACTAACCAACATGTTCAGTAACAAATAGAGTCTACTTTCACTTTACATTTATAATACACAATACACCTGTTTAAAAAATCTCCTAATTATTAAATAGAGAACATATTTAAAGCTTACATCCATTATTAGATATGATCTATTTTTCTACGATAAAGAGTACTTATCTATCCATATAATCCCAAGCTGTACGTCAGGTGTTGACTTAAATCAAGCCTTGTTAGCTTAATGAATAAACCAAAGTTGTCTATCATTTCAATGCAATTCTCTTTTCTATTCTGACTTCCTAAAACTGACCAGACCAGACCTTCAATGGTTGACATAAACAGTCTTATCCTATCAATCTGATTTAAAAGTCTGGTGACAACAGACAATTCTGTGCCAACATGTTACAACACCTCTGTCTATGAGAGATTAGAGATAGGATGGGGGTTGAGACAGTGGACGGGGTTGGGCAAAGTGGATTTCTAGTGTCCCTGAAGCAAAAGTTAAGACCTATACATGACTGTTCGAAAATTGAATCAAAGAATTGAACCTGTCTATAATTACAGAAGTGAGGGATAATCCCTTACCTGAGAAGCTAGGGAAGGGAATTAAACAGAAAAGTGGTGAATGATTGGTAAGTGGAAGAGAGAATGACAAAATGTTATAAACAGGGTGGAGGTAGGCTGATGTAATTGCGACTTTGAGGACGCCGAGGGAAGGGGTCTGAAAAAAGTTTTTCTTATCTCACGATTGAAATTTTTTTTTTACTTTTTTTCTAATTTCAGTTTTGAAAGAAATTATGAAACTGATATGATTACTTCTGTATATCCTCCATTGATTTATCAAATCTGTTTACAAGGCTGACCGACATCAAATCCTTTAGTTTTATAGGCATACATTATACTAGTGGTGGATGGATGTCTTTATAAAAACTGTTTACTTTGTATATAATGATCAGGTTGTAAATCTATAAAGTACCCCAAAATTCACATAGAAATAGCCCAACACTGTATTTTACACAGGGTTACCCTAGACACAGTACAGATAGCAAGTCAATATCATTCCCATAGGTAAATAAACATATATCATTCAGAGGTGCCCTTCACATATCTGCTCAACATTCTCCCGTCCTCAGTTTCCATTGAAAAAAAACTTTGATCTACAATATTAAGTCTGACGTCAAATTCCGATAGCATCAGGGTGTAACAAACTCTTTAAAACTTTGATATTTCTTTATTGATTTCCGAATACTTGCAAAACCCTCAAAATCCTCGGATTTATTTTGAAAATTTGAAGATCAAAGTCAAGCACTTCTACTTCGTGTTTGAATATAGAAGTAATTAAGGCCATCTTAAACACAAACTTTTTATATATTTAGCAATAATTTCAACAGAGTATCTAAAACTGAGAACATTTTGATTTTTTTAGATAAAACTTTTTATATATTTAGCAATGATTTCAACACAGAGTATCTAGAACTGACAAAATTTTGATTTTTTTAGATAAATTTTTTTATATATTAGCAATGATTTCAACAAATATTCATAACTACATAACCTGCCGTTTACATACTTATGTAAAAAAAAAATCAAAATTTGGTGTAAAATAAAAACTGAAATGACAATTTCTGAAGATTAATGTTGTAAATTAAGTCTGCACAATGTTTAAACTCACCATAGTTGATATATCCAAGAATGAGGTCTTCGATTTTAGCAGTACTTACTATAGTGATATACGTTCTACCACTCCTCATTGTAATTCACACACAAATGATGTTTATTACTTAACTAGCTGCCTCGGAATGATCCGCAGGAACATCATCTCCGTACAATTCTGTACATATTTCCCGAAACGCATCACATGAAATTGGCTAGATT